GCGAAGCATAGTGAAATGCCGCAGAAGACGACGCATCCATAAAATATCTTGTGTTGGTTCCGGAATCTGTTCATTGCTGTCTTGTTGCGTGGAAAACTCGACCTGTGTTGAGATTTCGGTGCCGCCAGTGATAGTGTCATAATTTTCATTCTTCATGCTTGCGGGATGCATCTGGTCGATTGCCAAATTGGCAGGTGCTACCACTGTATATACACAGCTAATAGTCGATCTGCTGTTGAGCTTGCGTGTCCATATGTGTGTTTTGTTGATATGGAGCTGCGAGTGTTTAGTTTTGGGAAAGCTGTCGGCGTGCTGGTTTCGCTTGTGGTTCTGCGTTGTTCGCTGCGTGCCTCCGACGGCGTCATAGGTCGATTGGGGACGAGGAGAATACATAGGCGTTGAGTCTCAAGATTTGATATCCTGAGCGGATGTTTTCTGAGGATATCAAATTAGCTCCAATGGAAGCTCACGACAGTTTAGAGAATTCTAGGTCATTTCAGAAACAATACCAGCAACTGAATTTTTTCTTTTCTTTTCGTTATCTACTCCTTCGGTGGTACTTTGATGGCTTCTGCGTGGCGTATTGTCGAGTCGTTAGGGGGCTACAGTTCTATCACGTGGATTCTTGGGGCGCTCTCTGCAGCCTCGTTTGACACTTAGAGTATTGTCTTAACAAAAGTATTCTCCTCTTCCCACGATTTGCAACTTGTTTTAAACTTTGCTGAATTGAAGTTGGATACCAATGTCAGGTTACTACAAGTTGGCAGGGTTTATGGTGGAGGAGGACTATCCTATCGTCCGAAAATACCAGCAGTTAGCTGCTCGCGATCTTCTACTCATGCAAGCTGAACTCAGTCACCTCGAACATAGCTATTTATCAGTTGAGAAGAATGATTCGGAGCAAAAGGACGAGAGAGAGTTGTATCACCTAGATTGGGAACTTATGCACACCTCCGATCTTCGTGGGTTCAATGGGGAGCAGTGGACAATCTCACTAGCAATAAGAGCGAAGTTGGCGGAATACCGTAAGTTATATGAATACTCTTCTAGTCTAGCAGGCACCGCTCAACTGGGTCTCTTGATTGTACTGACTTCTGAGTAGATGATGCTATGCTGAAATACGCTAAAGTGGTTTCACTGCCGCAGCCCAAACCCAGAGAGCGTTCTTTACTCCACGAGTGGATTACTAGTCCAGCATTAGGCGGAGGTTGCGGATTTCTCGGGAGAGACCTTGGTGGTTTTGAACAGCCTTCTGTTTACGATCCAAAGTTTCAAAATGATCTTGTGATTTTAACCAATAATCATGGAGAAAACGACATTTTCACCCATTTTGTGACGGGACCGGGCTTGAGATGGAGTCATAAACTTTTTAAATATTTCAAGGTATGTAGCATATTCTAAGTATATACAGGACTCAATAGAGCTAAATCACAATGCGTAGAAACCAGTCCCTGTCGATATCGAAAGCTCTCCCGTCGGAGAGAGCAAAAATGCGTTGTACCATTACGATACAAAACAAGTCCACGCCATTACCAACATCTTTGGAACAATATTGTCTTCTTTAGCACCTTTGACATCGATCATCGCGCTGTCTTTCGTAACGGGCTCGAGAGCAAGACTTGGGCTAATATGCACATTCACCCTATTATTTTCATCTTGTTTAGCTGTGGCTACGAAAGCTAGGCGAGTCGAGATATTTGCTGCAACCGCGGCGTGAGTGTCGTTAATTGATAATGATAGGATCTCTTTTCACTAATTCTAAATCAGATTTGCTAGTGTTCAGGTCGTCTTCATCGGAAGTTCGAATTTCACAAGTTGAAGGAAGATAATGCAGGGGTTCAAAAAAGAAGATTCATTGTGATCATGATCTTACAGCGATTCGTCACTTTTAAAGACCTAACTCAAGGCAATCTTTATGGAGCTGGGTGATTTATTCATAGGCGTGAAAACATGACTCTGGAGGTTGTGCACTTTTAACAAACTGCCGCTAAACTGAGAGTGTTCATGACAGGTTTGGGGCCTAGCTACTGTTTCATCAAAACTTCCAACTTGCATGATTATTATTTGTGTTTCAGGACACATGGACCCAAAGATACTTGGCCTACCAAATTACTCCTCTGATCATATCACTTATACGAAACAATCTGGTGAAGCCTTTGCGGCAGATGCAACAATTGCAGATGATTGTCTTGTTAAGAAAGCTAACTGTTAGTAAGAACATAGTCTTGGGCCATAGTCTTTCCATGATGTTTTAGCCACTGCGGTAAGTCAGCACCTTCCGCTGGCAATCTAACTCGTCTGAATTTATTAGAAATTTCCGATATATCGACTCTCAATAGCACACGTATCGAAGCTGCGGCCCAATCGACCTCACTACATGCCAGCGCATCTACGTTGTTGACAATGTTGACATAGCGAAGCCCGTACGCTGAGTACGATCACGAGAGTATTAAAAATCCCATCGCTCAGTAGATGTTATTTGTGGCGACCAGGCCGGCGTTTGAGAATATCGCCACTAGGTTTCGCATTCGTGCACGCGTAGCTATTGTCAATTATTGCCACAATTTCTAACAATTCAGCAACCATAGATACAAATTTGGTTTGTCTCAAGTACAACAGAAACGATATGATAGATTGAAAGATTTGAGCCCATTCAATAATAGACTTATAGAATAACATCCTGCCAAACCCTGGATCGCACTTTTGCCCTACTTATTGCGCTGATGGTGGCGCCTGCGGCCTGGCTTCATCCAATCGAGACTTGCACAAGCTGCGGCTGAAATGCCACCCAATTCTGCCTCTCGCCTCGTTTTAGTCTCGACGGAACGCAAGGCTTTCTGGACTCAGAACTCAGTCAAACTACAGTATTTGACTCGCTCTGCGCTATCTACCTGATCATTGTGATCGCATTTTGATCCCAAGTGTCCACCTAATACTGGGAAATATTATGGACATCCTAGGAATTTTGTTCGCACCAGTCCGCAACACCAAAAAGGGCAAGAAACGGAAATCAAATGTACTGCTTCATCCTTATCGGAAAGCATGGCAGACGCTAACTTTCATAGACAGGAGCCGACTGCGAGATAAGAATGTCTCGAGACTACGATTCGGAAGAATATCCGGTGAAAGCTGTGTATATGGCGGGGAATAGTCGACACCAGGTTTCGTCAACCTTCGTGAAATCGACACTTGAATCGCGAGTCATTCCAGCCGACGATTTGTACAGATATCGGTATACTTGGATTTACTGGCGATTTAATAACGAACTATGCCGACTTGGAGACAAAGATTATCGATACAGAATGGCATTTGAAGTGGTGTATTCGAATATGCCTTACGATGTGGTTTTCGGGAAAGTGCCGAAGGATTCTGGAGATGTCTCTCAAGATCCTGTAGATTATGCGGTCAGATTTGGATGGCTGAGAACGCGGACGAGCTCTTGGAACAAACTAAAGGAGAAAACCAAAAGAACCACCTCTTGGGTATCAAGCGACTCGAGGCAAGCCGCGCGTCTGCAGCACAAAAGTTCTCAGCACTCAACACTAGTTTCACCCTGTCAAAGTCCATCTATATATACCGCCGAGTTCCAGGGCACTACTAGTCCCACCCCACTTACACCGTCGGACGAAATCAAATCGGCAAAAAACAAGGACAATCTTCCAAAGATGACGGCACCAATATCTGCTGAATTGAAGGAAAATAACAGCACAAATCGGGACGTCACAATTCTTTCCGATCCGATCCCACCAGGCTGCATTGATTTGGCGAACTCATCTGGGTTTTCTCCAATGAACAATTTATCACGGCCACAAGTGGAGAGCGAAACTGAGTATGTAAAGGTAGATGTGGTGGAGACGTCGGATTCCGCTTGTGCGGGCTTAGCTTTGGACCCTGTCCGTGTTGATTGGAATTACGAAACCGACAGCCAGAATACGCCACCTATAAAGCAAAAAGAAGAACCTCACCTGACGCGTTCAGAAAATTGTAAAGAAGATCTTGTTGAAGATCTGAACGAAAGAACTAGCCATGATCAAATAGCGACACAACTTGCGGGCGTGAGGAAAAAGAATTCGAATTCTTTAGTGGAAATTCCGACAACCACTCTATTGGAAGAGCCAGGTGGTGTTGGCGAGAATAGCGTGGCGTTGCGGACCTCCACTGCTGATTCGGGAAAATCTCCGCAAACTTCAGCTCAGGGTGTAAGTGATGCAAATGACAGATCTAGAAATCAGGATACGGGAAACCCGGCGGAGATTTTGCAAGATGAGTCTAGCCAGGCACCAGAAGTGCCAGTCATATCTCAAAAAATGATATCTGGACGTCAAAACAACAGCGCAGATGAAATGGAGGTGCCGTATGCTCTCAAAAAGTTTCTTCGGTCGAGGGATGATCCGATGGCGGTGGACGATCCCTCGCAAAGAACTTCCGAGTCTAAGCAGGCTACAACTGTTGAGCTGGAGAATGCTGGTATTAAGGATCGACATTATAGGCGAAGAGCTGCTACTCAAGAAGACCCATTTTCGGATGAATGCTGCAATAATGTTGATTTTCAACAAAACCTCGAATTCTCTCGACAAGAGCTACTGCCAGCCATTTCGATGGAAGAACTTCCATCATGCAGGAAAGAGTGTAAAAGCACACCAAACTGCCAGAAAAATCGTCCCAAGCTCCCACATATTGGTGGTTTAAAGAAGGTAGAGCCAGAGCCGGGCACGAGTTTGGATCTACTAGCCGCAGAGGACGCTGATGAATACTGGGCTTGGGACCCAGTTGTGAAGCAATACTATCATGTAGATTCCGAGACTGGATCGATGGACTGGTACGAGGACTCTGAGAATGATGAAAAGATCAAGTAGCCCCGGTTGAATATCATCTAGCTAAGGTGTGCAAATATATAACGAATATCGCCAAGTCAACTGCCATCTTGGCAAGAACCCCTAGTATAGCGATCCCTATCTGAATCGAGAGTTTTCAGGTCGGAACCATTGGTTATGGGTTCGATGGAATCAACAATTACGTTCTAGCGTTGTTTGAAATGAAAATTAACTTTTGAGTGTTGAAAAAGTGCCCAATGACGTTTTATTTACAACGAAATAGTCGCAAATAACGACGCTACATACAATATCTTGTTTTTTTTTTTTTTGGAATAACAAACACCCCTAGCGTATGATTTTACCACCTCCAAGCCGATAGTACACCTAACTTCACGCCATCTCATTACTGGCCGAACCAGTCCTACTTAGCTCAAAATCTAATTGCCATGCTTGCTTGGGGTGCTGTTTAGCTACAACACTGGTTCTGACACTCGAGATTGCTCGAAAATTGTTTGAAGATAAGACTACGTTCTAATACTTACGTCTGTAAATTTTGCTACAACAAAAATGACTTACTCTTCCACATCTGGATGTTCTAACTGCTTGTCCCAACCGTAAATGAAGTAAATACCAGAGAAACGAACTTGAATGAACGAGCTAGCCGAGCTAATATACAGGAGTATGATACATTGATAGAGAATAATGACAAGGGAAAGTCGACTATACTTTTAATGAAAAGCAAAGCGCTTCATCCGTGCATTTTGAATTACGAGAAATAACATTTAAAATTTCTTACTAAAGAGTTATACCCTCACCCCGGTAACACGAATACAGATGCCACACAGCGATAATACCAGTTTTGCAACAAACTCAGCAGAAGTCTCCTTGACTAAGAGCATCAGTCCTTCAATTATTGCAAGGATGTTTCAATCTATCTAAGTCTCGTTAGTTGCATTCAAAAGACTGACGGCTTTTGCCCGTGTACTAGGATATCCAAACTTACTTTCACAGCCTGAATTTGTCCACTTAGCACTAACCCAACAACCCCATCCAGGAACATAATCCCATCTCTTGTACTTGTCTGTACCAACGGGCTTTCCATCTGTAACATAGCAAGAAACACCAAAAGTCATGCCTGGCTTGATCAATGTTCTTCGTTTGCCATTGTACGGGTCCCAATCGCAACCTTGGGACTTGTAGAAATTAGTATGAGTGTGAAAATGCCGATGTGTAATGATGACTTACTCCTGCGGTAATGATGTGGCACACATTGTCACGGGCCACAAGGAGATGCGACTCCTGAGATGGGTTTGGTGAGGTCTCTGGTTCAGCAGATGCGAGGGCCATTGCGGAGGCTTCTGGAATGGGTTCTGCGATTGGATTTGCGAATGCTGCGAGTGGGAGGAGGAAGACGATGTTGATAAACTTCATTTTGAGACTTTGGGTGGATGAGATGCTTTGAAGTGTAGTTGCTGGAAAATCTGGCTGTTGTGATGAAGTGATGCCGTCCATTATCGTGGATATCCAGATGTCCTTTATACTCTTCTTCATCGTCTTTGCTTCCGATAGTTTTTACTCCATTGTGTAAGTCGGCGCAAATCTCTACCGTTTCTCTTCGCGATTCTCGAGCCATCTCCACCTGAACGATGCTAAAATAGAGTACCAGTTCCAGCTGAATGAACACCAAGAGCTTTTGAGATTTGCGAATCCTTTTGGCTAACAAGTTCTCAGATCGGCCAGACTTTCAAAAATTCACGATCTCTAAAAGTGATGGTAAGCTGGTGCTTCGCTGTAAGCAAATTGAAGCTGCGAAGGATTGAGAGACGGGGAGCTGACATGGAAATTAGGGGCTTCATAATAGTTCAGCCTCTACTAGTAGCATCCTAAGGATCAGAGCTGTGGCAGGATTTTAATGCTCCATATTTTGGCCTTTAAGCTTTGTTGCAGGGGTAGCCAGATATTCCTTCCGGGATGATGAAGCTACTTGGCGATTTCACAAGAGAAGCAAAGTGTAGGAAATGTTGAAGATCTAATGATTCAAAAGACTTCCCATCTGATGCACTGTTATTGTTTTATCATATCAAAATTTTGCTTCCTTGTTTCTTGTTCGTGCTATCAGCCCGTCTGCGCAAGTGGGAAGTTGAGGCTGAGTCAGGGGGGAGGAATCGGCTTGCATTTAAGCGAGAACGGCAAAGACGTAAGGTCGGATCAACGATTTCGCCGCAAAACATATTTTGTCTTCATTAAATCCTTCAAACTTCAAACTTCATATTCTATTCTATCTTAGCTTTCAAGGTCTTGATTTGTAACTTGGGTGACGTGCTAATACCCATTTCAGGTCGAGAGGCTGAAAAGGATCTTTTGTGGGACTGGCCAAGTGATTTTCACAGTCTGGTAACAAGATGATGGACTTAAATCTTTTAGAATCGTGTTGAAGATTCTATGTAGGAAGAAAATCGAAGGGCTGTGGACGTGAAATAAATGCGTTCGTATGGAAAATTCTTGCAAACGTGGAGATTTAAAGCTAACAGTAAATGCAGCTCAAACTTCCAAGCCTGCTGCTACTTTCTCTCTCAAAAGCAATGCAGCCAACAGTATATCGCACAACATTGGCAACTTGAATATCTTAGATATCTGCTTATATTACATTCACGATTAGCTAACAAATTGTGTGCGCTGAACGGCGCGTTCTGAAGTGTGGGCATATTACAATCTATACACCAACACAGACATAATAACCCAAAAACAACAGCCTGCAGTCCGCTCCAACCTGCGGGTTCCACGCATTGAATTGTGCAGCAGTGATTCTGTACAAAGCTTCAATATCTCCACAAAACTGGTTTTCGCGTACCTGATGCCAAGTTTTGCATCGACACACCGCTCCTGGTTGCGTTGGAGTTGGAGCAGCGGTCGCACATACCGAAGTTGCTGTTGTCGAAACGAAAGTTGGTGAAACCCCAATGATGCTCACGCAAACATTCACATTTGCTTGGAGGCCACCACAAGAAGCACCACCCACATCATTCCATGAGATAAATTGGGCGAGTGAGATACCACTTCTGTCAGCAATCTTTTGACAGCCATCTCCCGGTTGCACAAAATAGAAGGCGTCACAATTTCCAACCATACCTGGCTGCGTTGGTTGCGGAGTTTGAATACCATTCGATGGGGCAGTTGTAGTAGCTGGCTTGGTGCTCGTAATTGTTGCCGTGTGACCAATGATGCTTACACATACATTGACGTTGGCTTGCAAACCCGGACATGAAGCCCCGCCGACATTGTTCCAAGTGATAAACTGAGTGAGAGAGATCCCATTCTTGTCGGCAATCATTTGACATCTGTCCCCTGGACTAACGAAATAGAAAGCGTCACAGTTGCTGACCATGCCAGGCTGCGTCGGCTGAGGTGTCTGAATACCATTCCCTGGAGTGGTTGATGTAGTAGTGACAGGTGGTTGCGTAGGCGTACCGGGAATGCCGACACCTGGTATGTCGAATTAACAAGTGAATGTATTCATGTTACGAGGAGGAACTTACAGTAATATACCGCTGCTAGAAGACCACTGCAATCTCTTCCAACAGCGGGGTTCCAGGTTAGAAATTGAGAAAATGTGAATGTACGATACTTTTGAACGATTACATCACAAGTGTCTCCTCTGGCAGCCTGATAAAAATTCGTACATGTATCAATTAGGCCTTCCTGTGTCGGCGACGGTTTCACAGGCCCCGTTGAAGTAGGGCTAGGCCCTGTGGAGGTAGTTGGCGTACCGGGAATTCCTACACAGTAGAAAACGTTCGCCTGGAGTCCAGCACAATCACTTTCGACAGCTGGATTCCAAGCTAAGAACTGAGCAAACGTGAATGTACCGTTACGGGTGACTATCTTGTCACACGTGTCCCCGCGTATGGCCTTATAAAAGGTGGTACAAGAGTCTATGAGTCCTTCTTGAGTTGGTGATGGTTTGACAGGGCTGGTTGCAGTAGGGGATTTTGAGGTCGTGGTGGTTATTGTAGGTGGTGGCCGAGTGACTTCAACACAATAGGAGTTACCAACTTTTATGCCACTACAGTCTGCTTTCACAGATGGATTCTTTGAGAAGATTAGTCTTAGTAGAATTTGAATTCCAAACAGCTCGACTTACCCATGAAACAAAATCTGTGTGGGAAATTCCCCAGTTTGACTCAAAAAAGTCACACGTATCAGCTGTGCTAAAAGCAGTGTCAAAAAAACTGCAGTCTGGGTCCGTCGACGGGTCGACGGGGCCGCTCTGTCGCTGAAAGACATTGGCTTTACCTAAGCCTGATAGTGCTAGTGCAAGATAAAATACTCGTGGAGTTATCATATTCGCGGCGATGATGGATAATCAATGCCAACAAAATCTGGGAACCGATCTTATAGATAGTTTTGGTGTCAGTTTACAATAGTCTCGGCCTATACGAACTGATACATCTGTTGGTACTTTGTGGTTGTTCATCGGACCAGCCATGCCCCTACGACGCCCTGTGTGGCATAAGTAAAGGCAGCATGCCTTTTGAAGCCATACTTTAAGTTGTCTGTTCCTGGACGCCACCAAACAAATTATCTCCGACTTTTAATGAGATACGACGCTGGATAATTGACTTCTGTCGGCGTTTGATTAAAAATGTGGTAGATTGTCATGATTGGGGTTCAAGAAGATTGACATGTGAGTTCTACTCGGTGATCCCTTGACACACGAGTGGCTAATTGTTGGTTAATACCACCGCAATGCTGTTGGTAGGCACAGCAGACGAACATTTGCTGCTTTGAGGCTGACCAGTTTTGGGAAGATTGGTCTACCTGATGTCCACTCGTGGTGATCATGGTGTCGCAATGAATGAGTGTTAATTCTAAGTAGACGGTGAATCAGAAGTGGAGCATAGTATACTTGAACTCAATGATGCGATGCATTGCGTATGAACTTGTAAGCGATTTAAGGAGGAAATAAATTCTTTTACCAGCGCACATTCGGACGGTACGAGGGGGGTCTTCGTGTAGGCTCGGTTAAACCGACGAGTCCGTGCTAACTGCCAAGCCTTGGCGTCTGACATTATTTATTCTCAGGTCCAGTTGCGTTTGCAACAAGCTTCTCCTCGTTCCTGCATGATAGACACGGTCTACAAGCAATTCTGGGTGCCACTACTCGAGTAGAAGCATGGCTATTTTTCAAGTACGTGAAGAAATCGACTACGGCAGATTAACATTTGACTGCTTTGCTCTGGTAAGTGTGACTCTCCTGACTACATTGCAGCGACAAAATTAATTGACATGGCTGGCACAGACGAAATGGGACTATTCCAAAACCACAGCGGACGACAAGTTGCAGTGGAATGAGCTGGTTATCGAGTTTCTAGCTCTCACTGCGCGTGGCCGTGAGCCCTATCGCCTGCAATGCGAATGGAATCCGCCAGTGCCTACGTTGGAGCAGATCCAGCGCGTACTAGCACCGTTTCAAACAATGTATGAGCGTAATACTGCTACTACAGCGCATCGTGAGGCTCCCATATGGCTTCGTACTTGCTATAAAGCGGACCTTGCCGAGAACTACATTGCACCAGCAGCGTTAGGCGACATAGTGAACTATGGTAACGTTCTTGATGACGAGACCCTGTATAGCGACCTAGCTAGTGACTGGACCCAGATATTTCTCAGGATCCCGTCCATCCCCGATATCGTAGATATCCTGGACGATCCAGATTTGGAAGATGATATTTCGAATGAAGATCTACCCAGCGAGCCAGAAAAGGAATATGAGAGAGCACTCTATGACGCTGAACGACTAGAAAAAACTCTCATATACCTTATAGACGAGGAAGCTCTGCGGGAGCGGGTTTTTAAAATCATGTGGCTCGATATACATGGAAATTGTGTTTGGGATTTCAAGGTTCGCGATTTGTTTAGATTTCAAGGGCCACTTCTAAGCGGCTTGTTCTTGAATGAAATCGTTCGAAACTATAGCTCTGCGAACGACCGCAAAAAGTGGACACGGGGTGCTATTTTGGACTAATCCCACGGCAAATATGGCATGCCCTTCAGAGAATAACAACACGGCTGGTATAATCTTGAGCCTTCTCCATAGATAGTCTGACTCCGAGAATCTGCGGAGCAACGTCTATCATTATTGTGAGTGGTTTATTGATCTTCAGGAGTATCTGTAGACAGAAAAGCCGCTGGCATGCAACTTGACGGAAAGACAGTGCTTGCGATAGGGGACCCAGTCAACACTGGGTTGCAATATGGTTCTAATATATCCACACATTCGCTACTTACCATTTCCCAATCGAAACCGTTGTCATAATCTTGGCCTTTGATAGGGCAGTTCAAAAAGTACGCAGTTGGATCTGGACCGCTTCCTCTGGTCATGGTTGTGGTAGGCATCACGAACTGCAAATTTGTGGTAGAATTGCCAAGTGGAGAGCCTTGAGTTGGACCTGGCACCCATTGTCCACTTGGTACGGTCCAAGTCCAGCTGAACGTTGCTGTAACTTGAAGATCGTAGTTGTCCGTTCCCGGAGGGCTAGAGTATGGCAATGTTAGCAACGTGCTAACGCTCAGTAAGTGTTTCTTTGAGATGCAACGCGGAAAGGAGCGAAAGAACAAAAATACTGACGTAATGCATATTGTTCGACCTTCCAGAGCTGTTGTGTTCTCGCATCCTGTCTCAAGTATCGGATTCCACGCTACCAGCTCGTTTGTTGTATACGCTTTCCCAGCCACAATTTGTTTGCAGGTCTCGCCTTTCTGAATCTGTCATGGATCAGCTTGGTGCTTAATGACCGGACTCATAACTTCACCCACTGTGTGCAATTTACAGCTATCTTGAATACAAACTGAAGATCCCGCCGTCAGAGACGAACACTTGAAGTCAATGCTGTTATCAGCCAGAAATCGATCGATCGCAAGTCCATTCCTCGCTGCAATGGATTCACAAGAGTCTCCACCGCCCACAACATATTCGCTCCCAGAGCATCGACGGGCCGGATCTGTAATTCTGCTCACAATCAGTTGCATGTACATCAGAAACCGACATATTTGATATTCTTACGTCGTCGGGGGCGCTGTCACCACTGAGGCGGTTGAGTATGGATATTTGGTTGGTGAAGCTCCGCAAGATGATACAAGTGACCGAAATCTTGTCTCTGACATCTTTCGCGCCCCATAAGTAGAGTTGAGCATGGCGGCAAAATATTTCAGCGCACAATCGTCGCAAACCTTCAATGTTTGGTTCACTGCGTCTGGGTAGCAGAACTCGGAAGCTGGTCCGCCTTTTGCACACACAGAATTGTGTGCCCACTGAAACGGGATCGCAAAATCGCTTCCTGATCGTGATACGTTGCCAGGAAATGAGTATTGAGTATTGCCGCAACGCGCGTTGACAGCAGTCGTCCAGGTCTGTATAGATGTTGTGCATGTTGAGTTACAGTATTCTTTGAGAAACTCATCGTCGAAGCCAACTTCGCGCTCTATATCATGTGGAAGTACCAAAGTTGGACCGCATGCGATATTGGTTGACAATGATGCACGGCATGCAGCGGGAATCTGAGCTGGAAGGGCACCGGGGCTAGGAAATATTTTGATGCCGCCAGCGTTATTTGTCAACAAGGCCAGAAGTACGATGATAAGAAGACTCTTGAACGACATGTTGTGCGGTGATAGATGAATCTAGATGACGATATGGGTCGGACTCGATACGAATATGAGAAAAGTGAAAATTTAAAGTGCATGGAAGACCCTCCAAGAAAATCGGCAAGTATCAAGATTGAAGAGCTGAGAGTAGCACGCTCCTCAGTTCGTTTCTATTCTTCTAGCTTCGCGAAATCTTCAACGATCCATGCCAGCGTTGATCCATTAATTTCTTTCTGAAGTTGGTTATCAATTCACGATGTTGGATAATAAGCAGCCAAGACACACCACGAGAGCCTCCGCTTTTCTATGCATTTTCCCGCAGAAATGGCAATCTCTTGCGCGAATTAAAACCAACATTACCAAAAGTAAGTACTCTCTTTTTGACCAGTTGACCTAGGCACAATCTCGCTTCTGGTTGGCTCCAACCATTCCACGTCATCCTGGGAACAGAGGGCACTGAAGAACTGCTGACGAAAATGATAGCCCCCTTCAAGAGGAAAGTTTGGGCGCGTTGGGCTGAGTTAAACTTTGATATTCGATCAAGTAGCGGCGCAAAGCGGCATTCTTCAGTCGTCTATTCCTGGCCTCTCAATCCCGCCCCAGGATCACACACCAACATCCGGGTGGTCTTCTAGGTACTACTATGCTCTCTCTGATTGATTGTTTTCATTGTAGCTGGTAGTTCTAGGTTGTATGGATAGCCAAATCAAGTACTGATAAACTCATAGGGATGCAGTTACTTTGGTACCCCAACACTGGTAACAGGTCCAGCTTGTCTATACGATATCTTGAACCTGGGCCTTCTTAATGCTTCCCGTAGAGGTCAGCGTAGAGCATCTGAAGATCGATGATGGCGCCGATCCCTCGTGGATTCATATTGCAGAACTTCAATTGGCTAAAGCTTAGGAAGCTCTAGTAATTCAATGTCTATTACTACCTGGATTTTCTGATTCCTTCTTCTCTCTTACGCATTTCCAGAACTCAATTTTCTAGTGTGTAACTAGCTGAATTCATTCACAAATTGTACCAGTAGTGACAATTTGTATTCAAAATGCGACCCCCCCGTACTACACCAGGTTGCTCAGTTACCTTTTTCGTTTGCTTTCTGCTCTTATCAGGCCTCGCACATCTTGTTAAAGCGCAACAAGACACAAGCTGTAGCGTTTTCAAAGCCTGCAAATCTGGCTGTTGCAGCAAAAATGGCCAATGCGGATTTGGACCAGATTACTGCGGAGACGGGTATGTAATTCTGAATCATAAAGATCTATACTAAAAGTGTCAGATGCCAAGGAAGCTGTGATGCTCTTGCTGAGTGTGGTCAATATGCAGCGTTCGATAAATTCAAGTGTCCTTTGAATGTGTGCTGCAGGTAAGGCTACCACAAAGGTCACAACGAGTATGTACTAATTTGACTTAACAGTAAGCATGGATTCTGTGGCTTTGATGACCAGTTCTGCAATTCGGAATGCCAAAATAGCGGAGGTTGTCTACCTGTCGTGTAGGTTTGGAATTGAGCTCACTTAAGCAACATCCAGCTAATTTTGTTCCCTGGTAGGCGGCCAACGTGTTCTGAAAGTACGGATGCAATGTCTGCAGAAGTTCGTATTGGATATTACGGCGCGTGGAGTGCAGGTCGTGGCTGTAACGCCCTTGAGCCCGAGGGAATTCCAGCTGGCGTGTTGACACATATCTATGTCGCTTTTGAGTTCGTGTCTGCAAATCACGAAATTACAGACGAGAACGGGCCTGTTGTCGGGCGCGTCTCCAGACTGAAGAGTTTGTATCCCGGTTTGAAGGTCGTGATTGCTTTAGGTGGATGGGTGTTCAATGATCGCCCAACACAAACTCGATTTTCCGACATGGCCTCTAGCGAGAGCAACAGACAAGCTTTTATCACTTCCTTAGTTGCATATATGCGAAAATATGCTCTCAACGGCGTTGATATAGGTAAGGCTACCCAAATGCAGATTTCCGAACTTTTCAACCCAGAAATTCTAACAAACGCAGATTGGGAGTATCCGGTAGCTGATGACCGTGGAGGTATCCCACAAGACTTTGACAATTTTGTAACGCTTGTATCTGAAATTCGCGCCAAGTTTGATTCGATTGATCCAGGGTGGGAGCTCACCATGACTCTCCCTGCCAGCTATTGGTATCTTCGTGGTTTTAACGTTAAAGGTCTTGTGAAGTATGTCAACTGGTTCAACGTCATGACGTACGATATCCACGGACTGTGGGATCAGAAGAATGTTTGGACAGGTCCTTTCCTCAAAGGTCATACCAATATCACAGAAATTGAAGATGGTCTAGACCTTTTATGGCGGAATGGCATCACCCCCGACAAGGTTGTCATGGGTTATGGATTCTACGGCCGTGGGTTTACAATGACCGACAACTCTTGTAGCACACCCCCGAGCTGCACGTTTAGCGGGCCTGCATTTCCTGGTGATTGCACAAACGAGCCAGGTATTCTATCGTACAATGGTAAGTATCAATATCCCGCTCTTTGAAACTGTCTGACGCATCTTGTAGAGGTCATCGGCCATGAGAAACAGCTGAGTTCCCATAAATTTTATGATGAGAAATCATCGGTAAGATGGATGGTATACGGATCGAATCAATGGATCTCCTGGGATGATGCTCAGTCTTTTGAGGCGAAAAAGAAATTCATGTTTTCTCGCTGCCTGAAAGGACTGATGATCTGGGAGTTGGGGCTTGACACTGCCGACTTCCAAGCGCTGACCGGTCTTTTTGGTGAAGATGCCGTTGGAAACGCACTACGGGACACTTCTTTGAACCCTGGAGAGAAAGACAAACTTGCCAGGGATCTCGCAGCGTTTACTGGTCAAAATTGCTACGTCACTTCGTCCTGCACCAAAGGGGGTCGGTCTGAGGGCGGTCAAACTAGTATATGTAGTTCTGGGTACTCTTCAGTAGAGGTTGCACATAACCCAACACAGATGAATCGGCACCCCGAGCGTGGTAGTCCAGAAGTATGTGATGAAGGAGAGTTCCATCATATATGTTGCCCGACGGAAGCGCAGCCCAGGAACTGCGACTGGGAGGTACGTTAAAGCATTCTAAGACCAGAACGCAATCTAATAACTATTACAGGGAATCCCACAAAAAGACATCATGGGTTGTAAAAGAGGCTGCGGACCTTCTCAATTTGAGCTAACAAATGATGCATATATTGACAAATTTGGCCTCAAGGAATGTGGGGTTGGCTCTAAGAGCGTAAGTTCTAGCCTAAAGTGTAGCATAATGGTTAGTGCAACTAACAAATGTCTAGTTATGCTGCGATTCCACCCAGATTCTACAAAAGTGTCATTGGACAAGCTGTCTCTTTTCTTCTGGCACGAGTAACTGCGCCGTTAACGAGGTCAGCGTGGCTACCCGATACGATGCAGACGATGGGAGTACGTGTATCTGCATTTCCTCTAATTGCGTAGATCATTGTGTGCTTTGCTAATTCGTTGAATGCAGCCAACTGTAAATCGCAGACTGGACTTGGCAATGGAGGTACTCAAGGACCTATGACTGCGCAATATTTTCGGTCATATTGCTGTCCCAAGGATGGTGAGTTTCCGTAATTTATTATTAGGGTATTTTTGCTAATCAAAATAATCTTCCTTCAGACCCCTTGGAGGATTGCCAGTGGTCCAATGACCTATCTCGAGCGCCTAAAGAACATACGCTGCGAAGATGTGCACTCAAAACTTGCGATAGTGGTGAATTAGAGATCACCGAAGCTTTGAAGCCATCTACACTCTACGAGCTACAAAAAGAACAAGGCGCAGAAGTTTGTGACTTCTACAACGGACTTCCAGGTTTCGCTCCTGAATACCCGCTTTGTTGTTCTCCCCCGTCTAAATTTGACAGAGATTGGCCTGTCAACCCGGCTTATCTATGGAACGGCGCGCATGTTGGCGAGAAAGATGATGTCTCCTGGGTATTTGCAGACAACTTCGGCAACAACAACAAGGACACTTCTCCCACAAATCTCGAAGAAAATCCCGGTGAGGATCCATACGGCTTTGTTATGCTGGATGGCCCCCCTGGATCTATCGCAAAACAGTTCGATGCCCAGTTCACGGTAATAACTCGCGATGAACCCCTCATTATCAAACCAAGATCTCTGGTCACAACGAACAAAACAGTCCTCGATGCAACCTTCGATCACTTGGAAGAAACTGTGCAAGTATATTGCAATCATCATCAAGACTCTAAGCATTGTAATGAGGTCTTCTACAAAGGTGCGAAGGATACGATTATCAAACTCCCGGACCACGTCGGTGAAGGTCCCTACGCTCGAATTGTCTCCATGGAACCAATGCTCGAACCAACACAGTTACCGCCATGGGCCATACGCAAACGAACTGAACAAAACTTACATGGTAACGGCATTTATAAGCTAGTTTTTGATTATGATTTCCACGCGATTAAGCGAGAAGAAGGGGAAGAAGTTTTCATGAGAGTCGATTATACAAACTTGCAAAAGTACTGGGGGGAAATAACAGACGAAGACCCTAAAAACTGGAGGAAGAAACGTTCCGAACAAACCAACTTTCAGTCATGGAAGGCTCGAGTGGACAAGGCAAAGAATGCGCCCAATGCCACGCTTCAAGATGATTGGAAATTTTCTACACGTGGGAAAGCCGACTTTTCTCCCGAGGGACCTATCTCTCCCGCACCTCGAAAAGATAATTGCACCGATCAAGCCAGCGATATAGAGCTCACGCGCCCAGGAGGACTTGTACGTCGAGGGTATGGTCCATTTCTCAATTGGTTCAGAAAGCTTACGACTATTACCAAGGAAGAAGCCGGTGTGCTTCCCATGTAAGTCATTTTCGCACGTATACCCTCAACTTCTTCTTCTCGGTTTACCAAAAGAGTCAGCCGACATACTATATCTTTCCCTATGCTAATTATAATTTTAGGGGTTTGAATCAACAATTTACAATTTACAGCGGCCGTCTAAAGTGTAGCGATGGGCCTGTAACAATTACCGCTGGCCTCGATATCACAGCCGAAACAACTATCGAAATGGGCGCCAAGTATGCGTACTACTTCTCAGGGACGGTAGTGCCGCCCAAAATTATTGACACATATGTTTACGTTGGAGCGCAACCAAAAGTCTATGCCGGTGTGAACATTCGAGGCAATGCTCAACTAGCCTACAAGAGTGAAGTACGACGATTGATTGACACCATCACATATCCTGGCCTTTCTATTAGAGGTATCGCGACAGTGGGACCTAGTCTAGATCTCTGGGGCCAGATAGAAGCTTCACTGACCATTTCTGGCCAGGTAAAAGTTGGTGCTCAGTATGTTTTTCAGCCAGTGGAGCTTTATCTGCCCAATGATGACGCAACACATGATCGTGCGAGTGATAAGCTCAGTGATATGAAGACAGATCATGCCGGTATGTCGCCTGTCTTCCAAGCTAATGTAAAGGCAGAGCTTGATGCACATCTAAGAATCACACCTGAGCTTAATTGTGGAATAAGAGTGGGTGGCAAGATAGGTCCTCTTCATGGCACACTCGTGGATGCCCAAGTTACTGCTTTCATGAATACATCGGTCCATTTCAACGCCTTGGCAACTGCAAGCACAGATGGACTAACAAGTAGTTGGGAGTACGGCTACAAAGTCGAGCTTCTGTGGAGGATTGGAATCGCAGCTGTTGCCACAGTCTGCTGTAAATATGGCAGCTGGCGAACGAAGGTATACTACCCAGTGGATTGGCAAACCCTTCCTCTATACGGACCTGTACTCGTCAAATCTTCGGGGGATTCCAGTAGCACCAAGCGAAGAGACGTTGATGCAGACCCCTGGACTCTTTCCGAGAAACCTCTACCGAACCCATTGTTTGGCTGGTCCAGCACCGCACCGCTGGACGTTTCATCATCGAGCTTTGACTCAAACACGAACACTTCCTTGGTCCGTCGACAGGCTCGAGCGAAGGAAACTGAATTTATGCTGGGTTCCTTCAAGTGTACTTCGGGACCTGGCAAATGCGGTACGCCTTCAATTAACAGAAACACTGGGCGTGATGCGACTACTTTGGCGAACATAGAGCGGCCGAATAGGCTTCAAAAGCGAGTTCCAACAGATTGCCGGCTCAGGATTCCGAACTTATATTGTAAGTAGTCCTCAACTGACAAAGGTCACATGCTAATCCTACACAGATAACTGTGAAGGGTTCTTTGCCGACGTTACTGTACAAAGTCAAGTCACATCTGTCACTATTCCTGGCCTTTGTAGCAGTGTAAGAACATTTCTGGGTAATCGAGGAATCAATAACGATCAGTATGTCTTGACTTGGGACAGCGCAAGACAAGCCAAACGAAGAGAAGAAACCTGTGGTTCTTCTCGAAATATCTGCTCTGAACGCCCCGGAGATGATGGAGAAAACGCAAGATACAAACACGCACTCGGTGCGCCTTGGGATCAAATCCTCAATCTTGTCAACTGTGACGAATTCCCTTTCGCCTCCACAGAAGAAGGTGGATGGGGTTATACTGGGTCTGAGCTTGGCTTAGCTCCAGTCAATCCAACTGGAACAACTCGGACGTGCATACCTTCCTGGCAAAATGATCTACAAGGACAGTGCAATAGTAAGTATCATTAAGAGTTTTATTCTGTGTCTCCGGCTGACATAACCCAAGATCTAATGAATCGCATTAATACGAATGTGCGGTACTTCAATGACCCCGAAAATCCTGATGATAGTCCAGAAAACGCCAACTGGCAATCCTGGATCGCAAAAAACGGCGGTTGGGTTTCAAAAAGCGGGTTCACATCCAACGGCATTAGTATACAGAGGCTCTGTCGCTATCCAACTCCCCAACCACCCAAATTGTTTGGCACATATGCAGATGCAAGTTGACCGTTTCTTGTGCTCTTCCCACATACTGACCAGAAGAACAGGAAAAAGCCGACACGTCACTAAGCTGGTTTCAAAAGCGCAACTTCACCTTACACCTGGTCAACAACCCCGAGACAGGCCCATCAACTTTTCCGGACAATCAATTTCAATCTGGCTCACTTTTCTCGACCGGTGGGAGAGTTCCCGCAGTGCAAAACAACGGCGCTATGACCAATGCCGCGTGGATTATCTGCGCCGTCAATCTTCGAGGTCAAGATCGATATCGATTCGGGCGAAACCTAGTAGGTGCTTTAGCGCATAATGGCTGGTGTTGGGACGGGCAGAGCACAACTGCAGCTTGGGGGGGAGTAAACAATGTGCAACGCCTTCAGTATTTTGCATGCGATGTCGACTTCGTTGGCTCAATTCGTCAGAAAAGAGGCGAGCCTGAACCGGTCCCCATTGGTTACTTTGGTGGTGAACCAATATATAATGTGAAACGATCGGACGATCGTCATGTTTTCGACATTGACATCCCAATTGCAGAGGCAAGAATACCTGATTACCGGCACTCAGTACCACTGAGCGATTAAGTAGAGGAAACTTCTGGCATAGAAACCGGCATTAAAGCAGAACATGTAGAAGTACTCACGCGTACAACTCACTTGAATTTCTAAGCTCCTCCGTAGTTTCCTTGCCATGTAGATGCTGGGCATCAGAATAGGTGAGACAAACCGGTCAACAAGTTACGATTACCCCGGCGGGTGAGATTGTTGGTGCCGTGATTTTTGGTCGCTGTGGTGTTGGTTTAGCTTGGCAAAAGAATATATTCGCACTTATCTTTTAGCGAACCTCCTTTTGCGCTCATCGAACGACTTGGGGAGTCTGCAATGATCTTCTTATAATTTTCAAACGAAAAATATGGATATAGCAAGTCTTCCATCCTCGTATGCTGGTCTCAAGCTGGATGGTGAACAGCTGCATGAAGATGCTCGGTACGGTGCTTTGCCATTTGACTGCTTCGCGCTGGTATGCTTGCAATTATGATTCTGTGACCGAAAACAAGTTTAACCATGCGCGATAGTCAAACTGGGATTTTTCAAGGCCTTTGCCCAAAGATAAAGAGCAATGGCATGATCTCGTTCTGAAGTGGCTGGCGTTCACTGCACTCGAACGTCGTCCATACCATATCTTGGGCCACGAGGCCTGGAAAACACCAGCACCAACTCAAGAAGTCATAGACCGAGTTTTAGCTCCCTTTCAAACAACAAATGAACGGAATGCCGCTTTACGAGCATTGTGTGGTCGCTGGTCGCCCATGTGGCTCCGTACATGTTACGATCCCGAACTTTGTAAAGATTATAAGGTACCACCTGTACATTTTCTGACACCAGCCCATATACTCGACGATGAGGGCTTATACGGCGGATTAGAGAGTGATTGGACTCAGATATACTTTCGAGTACCGTCTATTCCGGACTGTGTTCAAATAGGCGAACCAGAGGTCGAATCTGATGGTGTTCGTGCCGAGGAGTTTGGTGAACCGGAGTTTGAAAACGAGCGGGAAGCTCACGAAGCCGGTATCAGAGAAAGAACTTTTGTCTATCTCATAGACAGAGAAGCTCTTCGCGACAAAGTCATCAAATTGATGTGGATCGATATACATGGAAATTGTGTTTGGGACTTCAGCTTCCCAGAAGGAGATTTCGATGATCTCCAAGGACCTCTTAATCGACCCTATTTTCTGACAGAAATTATTTCGCGCGGGGCAGTATCAGATCAGAGCTTTAAACGAGGTGCTCGTTTGAGTTTGACCTGAGCGAGGACGTAAATGTGTAACATTTCTGTGAAGCGAATTTAATTTGATGCATGACAAGGTTATGGTTTTTTAATGAGTCGAGTTATTAAAATTAAATTCCATGATACCATAGCTGTTCTTTAAATGAGTGTCGACTTTTCCTATCTCGTAGGTCGCTTAGACTTCTTCGCGTTCGTAGATGGATCGCCAGTGAACTGGAGAACTGACGGGACAACCTCCAAGTACAATAACGCCAGAGAACGATTTTCTAACGCCCCTTCCCTAACATGCATATTAAGCCACTTGAAAGAGAAAAAATTAACCATCTCTCCAAACTAATTGAAGAAATATAGCATTTCAGGCAGAGTGTGATTATTCTGCCGTAAAGGAGGTGTCCCCTCATACCTGTAGCACACTGGTGCAGTACTATGAACGCGAAGCGTGCGCATACCCGGATCACACTCTTTTGTCCGGAAGAATATGTAGAAATCTCTATTGGATCGATAAGAAGAGCACAGTAGCAAGAATTGCTGTTTCATAGGAGCTAAACTATTGCGAATGTAAGTACATTCTTTCCACAGTCTGATGGCAAGACTACGCTGTCTTGAGGTCTTTCACACCAAACAGACCAGCAACATTGTTACTACCACTAGCGTGTTTGACACTACTAGATCCTTTTACTTTCTCAAAAGCCTTGTTCGTGTTTATGCCTGCATGCTTATGGTTGATTTTGGATGAAGACGATTTACCGCTGCTAGAAATAAGGTAACCAACCGGCCATGCAAAACGAGAGCCGAGCGGCTGGCCTGCTTCCTCCGAGGTGAGATACTCAACTAGTGCAATGACTATGGCTCCAATTAGCAATTCATCACTTTTTAGGGAAAGCGTGTCAGCGAACGTACAAATATATGCACCCAAACCAGTAAGAATATGCCACCAGCCATGGAGCTCAAGAACGAATGACCAAGGCAATCCTATGGTACGCTTCCATGCTGTTAATGTGTTACACATCATGATATCCACATTCCAGATAGCGAAACCACTTGCAAAAAAGACTGATCAATGTTAGCTAGCGGCTTTTTCCAAGGGCACGGCAGGAAACCCGCACTGGCTCCAAAAACAGCCAATAGCCGCACATCTTTTAGAACGGCGGGATCGGTAACCCGTACTTTGATGACTGATCGGGTTTTTTGTCTAACAATAACAATCATAACACCTGATTTCGTGTCTCAATTAGTTCGTGGCAGCTTCAAGGATTGGGATTGGTTACCAAATACTACGGAATGCATGAACAGCTCATCCGTAACGCAATGCCATATGCTGAAGGCTGTCATTGCCGAAAACAAAGTTAGGCCATGAATCACAGTGTAGTTCAGTGATTTGTCGTATGTAAACACACGATGGATAACAGTCGCTGTCGCTACAAGCATCGAGAGATCATCACCTGATCAATAAATTAGCATTTCTCAGAACCCTGCCAAATTTTACATGTGAAGCTTACCCCATTGTGTGTAGTTTTTCAACGTGCTGTGGAAAACTCCAGAGCCAATTCCAACACAGGCAATGCCTAAATAAGGCAGGTTCCTTAATATTGCGTCTTTCCGGTTCGCGTTATTTTTTATCCCATGATATGCGTAGAATACTGCACGCAACATTAGTATTGTGTCACAGTTATCCCCCATGAACCTAAGAACCGCTTCCATGACGCCTCTCAGATCGAGCAACCAGAAACCAAATACTATCACGTGACCGTCCCCGTCGGTAATTCACAATGCGAATTTGAGACTTACGGTATATCAAATTAGTCAACGTGTTCATGAACTCGGCGATATAAGGCGTAATGATGTAGTCCTAATGAAATTGTCAATTTCAAAATTCCTCACTTTGAGTGACCACAAAAGCTCGAGCGTCCGTGGCGTTTTCCAAGAGGCATACGTACCTCTTCACAAAAGCTATCGCAAATCGTTAGACATTTCTAGACCTCAGATCTCAGAGTTATTGCGGTAAGGTAAACTTACTTTGCTTGCGAATTTGGGGCTTGCCAAAATGGCGAATATGCATGTTGTCTATAGGGAAAAGAAAATGGCATTTTGTGATCGACGCCTGCGAAATCGCTCGATGCCAAATTTCCTTTGTAGTAATCCATTATTGCTGTTGGTGACCGGAATTTCTTGTCTCGTAAGGAGCAATCTTTTTATCGAAGTTTCGAAATGGCTGAATTTGGCGTCGTCTAGTTATCGTCGAATTGCCAACTTCGGAAAGGGGTTTTCAGGGTCTTTTCAGGGTCTTTTGAGAGGCGTTTAGGCGAAGCAAACGTATCGTCCGGAAGTGGGAGTCTGGTGAGTAGACTCTTGGTTCCAGCACCGCCAATGGCTTTGTGAATATCGACGAAGAAGTATTTCTGGGAATGTATTCTATTTATGTGAAGATTGATGAATTGAAGATGTATCTTCTTTTCTATTTCTCCGAGTCCCAATATCACAAGACATGGGGGGTGCATCATTCGGTGACAGTAAACAAGGACAAATGACGCTAGAGCCTCGGCTGTTTAGCGGGCCAGACAGTCTCAGTATAGAGGCGTTTTTGAGTGGCGCTAGCACGTGTATTGGGACGTGGACGCGCGTTTGAAGCCTTAGGCAACAAGGCAATAGAGGTTTGAATGATCTCCAAAAGATTCGCCTGTCGGAAACCGACTTCAACTGTGTAGTCATTTTGATCTCTGGTACATGAGTCGAAAAGTAGCTTCTCTTCAAAAGCAATTTATATGTGCAGCTAACTTCACCAACATGAGGTTATGTTGCCGATCAAGTGATATAATTTAGCGATACATAACGTGATCTGCTCCCTTTTCGTCCGACTTAAAGCGAAAGACATGCTCATAATAAGGCAGGTAACTGAGAGATACGTAGGTTTGGTTTCGTTTCCGGCCACATTCCAGCACTAGATTATATTTGAGATGATTTTATATAATCAAAAGTAATGGAGACTTCGAAATTCAAGAATGTCCCAACACGTTTATGATTTGGTAGTAATTACTAGTATTGAAACTTGGAGTTACTGTGGAAGCGTAAGTACGAAACCAACCAGGGTAGATTAATAGCTAGGTTGGAGTTTCAGAATCTTCTTGAAATTAATTGTATTTCCAACTATCATAACTTATTTCGAATTGATTCAACACCACTTCAAAATTCGTCTCTCCCTGAAACGCTCAATCACTTAACTCTATCCGGATCCCTCTATCATTCTAATCGTCTTCACACTTTTCCAATAGAGCTCAAAATATCGAAAGTATGAAGAATGTTTTAATCTATGCTAATAATCAAACCCCGTATGATTTTTCTATTTCTGAGGCTCTACCACTACGTTAATAGCACCACCTGGACGATCACCAACAAACTCGAAAGCCTCGTTGACCTTTTCCAACGGAAACAACTCGTGACGGAGGAACGATAGGTCAATTACGCCAGCGTCTACCAGCGCAATCAACTCATCAACCTCAACACTGTTGAACCAATTGGTTCCCAGTATGGCAACATCATGGGACATGGCCTCGCTATATTTTTGAGAGATCTCGCCATCCGCACCACCAGCAGCTAGGACAGCACGGCCGCCGCTCTTCAAAGCGCCAATGAGTTTTCTTGTTGAGTTTGCATCTCCCCCGTTGCCCAGACAATCGTAAAACAAATCTGGTCCTACACCATTTGTTTGTTCCTGGATCCACTGCACAACATCTTTGTCGTCCTCGGTTGAAATTGTGGCAACACGGCCATTAGATGACATCTTCGCGACTTCCGCGAGACGTTCCTTGTTACGTCCGACTCCAAGAATCTTGATACAGCCAAGCCCGAGAGCAATTGCAACAGCAGCATAACCCAAAGTCCCAGTTACGCCATTAATGACGACAGTTTTTCCTGGACCTGCGCCTCCCTTTTTCAAGCCCGAGAAAGAGGTTCCGATGTATCCAAACCGAGATGCAGTAGGGAAATCAATACTGGGAGGTAGCACCGCCAGATTAGCATCAGGTGATACCACATACTGCGAGAGAGCGCCTAGTGGATAGTGACGGAGCATTTGCTCACCGCCTGGAGTCTGGGCGAAATATCCTCGAAGACAGCAGTTGATACAAAGATCTTTTCTTCCTTAAATGATTGTTGTTAGCTACGATGCTCCTTCATATTCCACCTTGTCACGTACCTCGTCGGCACTGATGGCAAGTGCCACAAGTGAGAAATGGATCAACATAAACTCGATCTCCAGGCTTGATTCCAAAAACGTGATCGCCAACAGACTCAACGACGCCTGCAGCGTCTAGACCAAACACGCATGGTAATTCTGGGAGTTGGAAGTTGTCGCCGCCGCCAGTGGTCATAAGGTTGTGGGCATTAGGAACCAAACAACAGGCCTCGACTTTTATCAAGACATCCTTTGAGGCCGGGACAGGCTTTTCGGCTTTCCCTGTCTTTAATGGTTTGCCAAATTCGAAGAGGCGTGCGACATTGATTTCTGACATCTTGTTCGTACTGCTGGCGTGAAGTTGAAATAATCCCCAAACCAGTACACCCCATTTATAGATGGGGGGTCGTTACTGCTCGTTGCGAGCGTGGAGCTCACGACTCATTAGTGCGACTCGGGAGAAAACGCATGATGATGATATCTTTCAGCACTGGATGCATTTGTGTTTGGGTACAACCAGTTCCTGTGGGTTACCTTTCAATTAGCATGATGCTGCTTGTAATTGTTTCCACCTCCTCTGTCTAGGCAACAGTCCATGAGAGATAATTGTTAGGCGCGAACAGTTTTCTTCCGTTCTCCCAGTTGATCCAGTGAGCTCTTTTAGTGTCGGGTTTCGAATCATTACTGAATCTCCACAATTCGAGGATTCAGGTACATAATCCTCGGCAATAGAAGGCTTATCCCTCATTATTAGATAACGCCGACCACTTTTGTGAGATTTATAGGGCAGGAGCTGGGTCCATCGGTCTCGCACTTCTTGATATTCCGACATTTCGACGCCCATTTCTTTAGGGCTGGCCATACCAAGACACCATCGATCAGTACTACAGCAAATTGGCATTCGCACAAAGAATAATGACGGCTTGACAGCTCCATAATTAGAGGAATAATACAAGGCGTCAATGAGATGCCTAGAGATCTGACCTACTTAAGCAAAAGGTATGGACGACGTCCTTGACTATTGGTTGCCCGAAGGCGACAGCTTTCTGTCTATTGTAACTATTTAACTCTTGTGCCTTTGGCTCCCTTACAGACCTCAAACGTAAATCTCAAATCATCCGAAACTACCCCACATCCGGGCCAAGTGAGTCCAGATCTGGTAACTTCGTCTGCGTAATTCTCGAAAGCACATGTGAGAAACTCCAGACCATTTGTTGGTCCAAATGGCACAAGTCCAGCCATAGTAGCAGTCGTTCACTAATCTTTTACCGCTCGAGGATTTGCTAGTTCTCACCCCGCCCCCGAACTCAAATAGGATTTACGTGCCTAGGCAGCCCGAATTCTCGACCTGGGTTCATGTATCACAACATCGTATGCATAGCTGATAGGCTGCATTGTACTTGAGGTCGACGGCAAGCACCAAAAATTGCTTCCCATTGTATAATAGATTGATACACTACCAGCCGGACAAATCAGTCATGGAAGGACGAAAGCTAAGGAGACAGAAACGTGGTTTAGTCGACTTGCAACCGAAAGATGATGCTGGGACAGTGATGTGTCTAATTCCTCTTCTCACCATACACAAACCGAAGATTCGCATACGAGACTTGGCTCTGGACGCTCAAAAAGATCTTCAAAAGTGAGCATCTCAACGCCACGCAAAATGGCGAAAAACTCCGAGGAAAACGCTAGCCAACAAAATGGGGAGGAGACCATCGAGAAATTGGGCAGAAAGACACCCGAATCCTCCCTCAAGAAAGAGCCAAAACAGAAGAATCCCAAGTATGACTATTCGGTCAACGCCAAATCACCATTCCCAGGCTCCAACTGTCGGCGGAGTCGAAGGCGTATTCCGCTGACTGGAAGACAAACATGACAAAATTGAAATATCACAGTCTAGACCCCTAGGTCTGCGCATCGAGGGTTGCAATGAGGAAGAATCAGCTTTGATTAATGTGGTAATCCGAGCACGTCTCAGTGCCGGCACGAATAACATGAATGCATCTCGGGTATTTATGTGCATCTTGAACACCTTCGGAAGACGTATCCAGTGTTCTTTGCATAGTTCGCGTGGGATGGAGCTGCAAAATATGCTTACGGCGGGTTCCTTGGCCATTGCTCTTGCGAGGAACGATTGATCCAATAAGACGAGAACGATATGCAGAGGCTGTGAGGGCTGCTTCAATAGCGAGGAACTTCAACCACAAGCTGAATGGAACTTTTGGTGTTGACCCAGATGCCCAAGTTGAACAGCGAAACCGTGTTCTAAACGAAGTTTGGGTCTGGTGGTAGGTACTGGAGTGCCTGGAATTAGCGAGCGTCAAAACACACTGTACTCAATACTGATATCAATGTACTAATAGAAGAACCTCTTCTTGAGTACCATAGTTTCCTATAACTCAATTTTGGATTCAGTGCAACCACATCATAAATCGTACCGTCAGGTCAACTTTTAGCTTACCTGGGAATCCATGATTGAGTGGAGTTAAATCGTTCGCTGACCACCAAACCTCCTAAGGATGTAATGCCTCCTTTAAAACGCCGAAACAACAAGTCTTTTCCAAAACGCCTTTTCCCCACGCCGCCATCATGATTCGAGCGCTTCGTCTAGTCATCGTCGTAATCTTCTATTCATGTCTCCGAATCCAGCCCAGCCGCCTAGAGCATCCTCGAACCCTCTCGCATAGGTAGTCGTAGCTGCACACCCGCTCTGTTCTCTCGCGGCATCAGCTTTCGATAACCACTCGCGCATGTTATCCATTCTACTTTTGTTCTACAGACCATAAGCTTGAGAGTTACCACAATCCTGGATACTCACGGTAGGATGGGTAGATAGCCATGCAGGCATATCAGTCGCATGTGCTGTTTCCATGCGTTGCCATACATCCGCAGCAGCACGAGGATCATAACATGCCTTAGCCATCATGATGAGTCCAATATAGTCTGCTTCACTCTCCTGCCTTCGAGAAGCAGGCTTCATTAACCCGAAATCCAAGAACAAGTCACCAATGAGCCTGCCTAGACCGCCCGTGTAGCCGGTGGAATCGAGGAATATGAACATCCATCTAACCGGCTGGAGCAATATCATTGAGGACATTGCTTCGTTGGAGTGCCTAGCGAGATTGTGCGCTATCTCGTGCCCAAGAATTGCAGCAAGGCCGTCGTCGTTCTTAGCTATGGGCAGAATACCACTAAAAACGAATACCTTGCCTCCGGGTATTACGAAGGCGTTTGCCTCTGCTCGTTCTTCAGTATTAAATCTAGCTAAGAGTCTAGTACTAACCAGGTGAATCAATTACACAAACCTCCCAGTCAACGCCTTCCATTCCACTCGCAGGAATCAACCTTCTCATAACCCTCTCAACCTGTTTTGTTCGCGAATCCCATTGTGGTAAAATGGCACGTCCGTAGTCTGACATAACATGCCGGTAAGCCATTTGGCCTTCTTTCTCAACAGACTCATCACTGTAGCATATAAATCTAGTTCTTCCTGACACCGGTACTTCCTCGAGATGAGTGACGTAGAAAATAATTGACCCGCCAGTCAAGGCGATTACAACGATGCCCGTTCTTTGACTGAAGATTTGTTCGCCGGTGATCAATGGCCGCGCCTTTCCTGCTGCATCTGGGTCATATTTCGTACGATATCTAGGATTGGAGCCATATTGCTGTCGAGGGGGTGGTGGTGGAAATCTCCCAGAGGATGCGAATCGCAGTTGCGGTACGCTTGGGCTCTTCGAGTTCACGGTTATGCGACGAAATGCTCTGGCATGGGCAGTCGGGGTAATACTATGAGGAGCTTGGTGAACGTTACGTGACAGTCGATGCAGTGCCCGGGAGAACATTTCTGGTTGCAAAGATTATTCAAAGTTCTTGATGAGAGCTACGAGAAAGGGGAAGACTTCACGATGATTTAGTAAGTGTTGCAGCCTTGCGATCCAGGCCCGGTAATAAACACCGACAGCCTTCCTCCGTTGGTAAAGAACCCTGCTCCCTGGAGCTCTGACCTGACGTCAGTTATTCGAGATTCCTCGGCAGGGCAAGTAAACATGGCTGTTAAACAAACTCGCAACAACAACATCATTTCTATTCTACTCAAACAGATTCCTCGAAACTCAACAAGATGATGGAACTTACGACCACCGTCGCGACAGTTGCGCACGGCATGGCTCAGAATACACATCCTCTTCAAGCAAAATGGAGTCGAATCGATGGCCCTCCACTGCCCCGATCATCACATTCCCTCTCAGTTGTTTCTGGTCGAGCCTATATTTTTGGTGGTGAGATTGACCCACGAGAGCCTGTGGACAACGATATGCATGTTATAGTTCTCCCATCAGGCACTGTCTCATCCGCCGATTATCGATCCATACCTGCGAAGGCAGACACAGAAGGCGGGCAAGTACCTGAGAAGCGGGTGGGACACACAGCCGCGGTAATTGGGGAACGCATATTCGTATTTGGCGGCAGAGGAGGAAAGGACATGAAGCCATTGGAGGAAGGAGGGCGAGTCTGGGTCTACAATACCCGTACAGACTCATGGAGCTACCTCGATCCAGAACCTGGAACCCCCTATCCGGCCGCTAGATCATATCATACCAGTGTCGCGATCGAGAAACCGGAGCCGGGTAACATGAAAAGCGTAAAGGTAGACAATGCTACAGAGTTACCAAGAGTTGGGAAGATTGCAGAATCTGCACAAACTGTAGAGCAAGAAGGAGGTTACGGAACTCTTTTCGTACACGCAGGATGCCCAAACTCTGGGAGAACAAACGATCTTTGGGGTTTTGATGTAAGAAGTAAGACATGGAAAGCTTTCCCTGATGCACCTGGTAGCCCACGCGGCGGTACCTCGCTTGCGGTATCGAAACAGCGGATATTCCGATACGGTGGTTTCAATGGTACAGGTGAAGAGGGAGGTGAGCTAGATTTTCTAGAGTTAAAGTTGGACCAATTCAGCAGCCTAGGGGGGTCGGAAGAAACTGGCGTCTCTGCTAAAGGTACATGGACGACCCTGAATTTCACAGAGGAGAACATGCAGTGTCCGGGGAACCGCAGTGTAGCTGGCCTACAAACAATCACGACTGGCATGGGTCGAGAGTACTTGATCTTATTTATGGGGGAGAGAGATCCCAGCAACGACGGACATAATGCTGCTGGAAATTTCTGGGGAGATATCTGGTGTTTCCAATGTCCACCACTAGGAATGACAGCAGCTAGTTTCAAAGACGCTACCTGGCAAGCGCTTGGCCGAGAAACGGGCGAAGGAAAATGGAGTCAAGTAATGGCGTCCGATTCTGAAGGCGTAGAAGGAGAGGATGTCCATAACCTCGTTCCAGGCGAGCGAGGTTGGTTTGCAAGTTCTATCCTCACGGACCTTGACCAGAGTGCTATTATATTGTGGGGGGGTTTGAACGGTAAAAATGAAAGGGAAGACAATGGCTGGATTTTGTCATTTACATGAAGTATGAGCAAACGAGAAACATGATTAATGATTTAGAAAGACCGAGTCTAAATTTTCATGCAAAACGACATGTGAGTCTCCGAATCGCGGATGGATTGATTTACTATTAGGTGCTCTGTCATATCATCGGCGTTCGCCTAGTGTGATCGGGACGAAGCTATCTCTAACCTCCACTCCCACTCTTGCTACCTACCCGTCAACAATATAGGTTATAACAACAATCTACCTGCAAAATGCATATCTATCGTGTAACTCCGTACATAGACTCATATATAGACATTGAAAAACTGTTTTAGTCTAAGAGGCACAAGAGAATTACGCATATTGCAGGTACGATTGTCCTTTGTTCCCTGAATCTTCCCCCAACTAACCCACCAGATCCCCATTCATTTCACAATGTCCGCAGAAGCAGCTCTCACTCCCGAGGCGGCACGAGCTGTTGCACCAGAACTCTTTCCCGAGCGTAAAAGTCCGACAAAAGCTCAAATTGACGCTGCAATTGAGAAATGTCTTGACATACAGCGGCGAGCAGTGACGTTTCAGAAAAGGCCATTTGCTGCTCTGTTATTAGGGCCGGATAACGAAACGGTGTTGTTGTCACATCAGAGTGTTGACCAAGTGAACCATGCTGAGGTGTGCAAGCTAGTTTCCAATTCAAGAAGAGGATTATAACAAGAGACTAATCGCAAAATCGTAGAGCTCCTTAGCCAGACTCGCTTATTGCCATTACACAAAAGAGTACCTCTGGACATGCACGTTAGTAAGCACATGGGAGCCATGTGCAATGTGCTCCGGTAAGTTTCTTGAACCGACCACATTCCTAGCATCTAACATACATGTTAGCTACTGTCTATTGGGCACACATCGGCAGGGTCATCTACGCAGCGTCAAATGAACAATTAGCTACCTTGACAGGCCCAGGTAATAAAGACAATTTCACCATGAATTGGCATACGCGAGATGTGCTGTTAGGACAGCAAAAGGATGTTGAGATTATTGGGCCTGTAGAGGGCATGGATAAGGTTGTTATGGAGGAGAGTGACGTTTATTGGAAGACTACGAGGAAATCGTGATGAAGCATTTGGAGAAAGAAGTAGTGAGGGGGCAGTTGCTTGTAGATTGAATAAGATGATAATATGTAATCTTGTGGATAGGTCAGCTAACAGATCCGCTATGTAATAACCATTGTTAGTGACTTCTACAGCATCCCTGCTACCCTTAATAAGAGTTTGGGGAGCTGTGTAACAAAACCAGGACGACTCGAGGAGTACACCTTACTTAGGTGCTTGGGAAGTGAATTATCTCCCTTGAAGTAAAATGACGCATCTTAATGCACACAGAATATTTACTGGTTATACTAACAGAATTGTAAGCTCCCATTAGCTTGATTTCACCGAAACGATATTCATAGTAGTCTCAAATTACTTGGAGGCAGCAAAATTCTCAACCAATTTGTCTTGCGCCTCCCAGTTGTTAAACACCCTACTAAATAAGTCATGATCTCTCTGACACCGGTGTCCCTGTCATAGAACTCTTCGTACTTGGCATGCATTTTCCTGCTACCTTTGTACTGATTTTGTGGCATGCAATACAATACCTACTTTACCATTTCTTTACTTGACCACATTGCAAAAGAATCACAACAAGTCATTCTGCTTATACCTGACACAGCTTCTAGCTATGTATTTACCGCTATTCATTCTTTCCAAATGTCACTAATAAACTCGGCTCACACACGCACTAACTCGGAAATAGTTGACGATTTTTGTCACTGCGGCTCACGAAATAAGAGTCCTCGCCTGACGGATCCTTTACATCCCACTCTTGAACATCATCCACACGTTCCAAGCCGCTAACCACCCTCTATAACCCCCCTTTGAATGAATAAATCTGACTCATTATGATTATACAAAAGTCACGTGTACTATATAAATCTACAAGAAGTAAAATATAGCACATCCATTCCCAACAACAAAAACATCACCTATCACTTATTCCAGTCCTCACAACCAAACCATGTCCTCTCCTCCCACATTCTCCCTCACCAAAACCTTAACAACCAGAGTCTTCCCAGAATCCACAAACCAAAAACCAACAACTATTTCTCTGTCAATAATAGACGCAACAGTTTCCCGTTACGCCCGTTGTGCAGCAATATGGTACCACAACCCGCCCTCAACCCCAACCCACTTCCTCACACCATCTCATTTCCACTTCGCTCTCTCGCAAACCCTAACCTCCTACCCACAATGGTGCGGTCGCGCCTTTTACACACCCTACCAGCCAAATACCAAACATACCCAACGCTACAGACGGGTACAAATCACATGTAACACCATCTCCGACCCAGGCGTTGAGTTCGTCGCGGCGACGTCGCCGAAGAAGCTAGCAGATTATATCCCAGACGCGCTCGCGCGCGGAAAAGTATGGGATGCAGCTTGCGTGCCGTCGAAAGAGTTATATCCATCCACTTCACTCTCACTAGGTGATGATCGAAGCGCCGTTAACCCACCAAATGTAAGCGTGCAACTCACGAGTTTCGCGTGCGGGAGTACGGCTGTGGCGATTAGTTTCACGCATGCGCTTGCGGATGCGCAGACTTTGTCGCGGTTTGCGAGGGATTTAGCTGCTGTGAGCAGGGCGATGTTGAGAGGTGAAGAACCGCCTGTGTTATCACCGATTTTTGATCCGGGTTTGCTTGATGAGCGGGCGGTTGGGGATGTTGATGCGGATGAGCCTGATAGGGAATTACAGGAGGAAGCGCGGAAGCTGCCTATGCATCGCTATGACAATTACCTGGAAGTCGAGGGACAGCCGTTTCCTTATAACATGCCGGGTGATTTCAAGAAAGTAGCGCATCTGCCTACCACACCCAGCACGCCTATTCCGTGGCATGAGTGGGATGTGAAAGCAAAGTGCAGTCATCGAATCCTGCATTTCACTGCAGATGAGATTTCCAATATCTATAACCTCGCAGCTGAGTCACAGGATGTCAAGTTATCGAAACTCGACACGCTGTTAGCTCATATCTGGCTGCGTATCAACACAGCTAGGCAGCTTCCCCCAGAGACAACGACATATCTAGATTACTCCGTAGGCCTACGCTCTCGTGTCGAGCCCCCATTACCAGCTTCTTTCCTAGGAAGTCCCATAACGCAAGCAGCAGTCGAAATCACCATTCCTAGCTCACCAACCTCGAAACCATTCGCCCAACTTCCTGAATACGCAAAACAAATCCGCAGCACGGTCCGAAAATTCACACCCTCAGCAATAGGTGCTCTACTCCATGATTCAGCCTTCGAAGTCTCGCCGCAACGACTGTGGAGAGGATTCCTAGGAACTCGACATATTATTTTGACGACATGGTTGCACTTGGGATTGGAAGAGGTTGATTTTATCGGTGCAGAAAATGGTGGCGGGGGGTTAAGGCATGTGGATCCTATTATGCCGGTTTGTGATGGTTTGATGGAAATGCATGAGAGTATTGGTGATGAGATCAAAAATGGCCATTGGAGCAGGAATGGGGTGGATGTGAATGTGTACCTGGAAACAGAGACGATGTCGCGGCTATTGGAAGATCCGTGGCTATGGGGTGACCAGAAATCTTCCAATTGATCGTTTGAATATAGTATATTAGACGATTTGTCCGTGAACAATGGTCAAGGTCGTCTTCTTACGAAATCAGCCGCTCACATGTTTCTCGCAATGGCTTGAATCACACAAACTTCTAGACATGAGCTAGAAAATACCGTAGAACTTTCTGAGTGTATTTTAGGCACTTGCCTTACTTAATACACTTTGAAAGTATTGTTCTGTTTATTAATACGAGTAGGAACACTCTGAATATCAGTTTTTAGTCTTATGCTGAGATCTGAACGCCTTCTGCCACTTTACACTTGGATTGAATAGGATGTTAGGAAAAATGATGTTGAAAGTACAGCACATAGATTGCAACACTATGCTTGAGCGTATGCTATTCTTTCAAAGAATGTGTAGTTCAGTGAGTTTAACTTATAAATAAGAAAAAGTCTCAACATAGTTTGGCATGATACCATCTGAAAAGAGTATGGTCGGTTGAGATAAGGGCATGTACCTTATAAAGTACAAAGCCAATATTGAGACACAACTATAATACGTTGGACATGACAACTATTGCGTTCAAAGGCAATATTGAGCTCCGAAAGAAGCTCGATCAATCCCGAGACTGCACCGAACCTCGGCCCGAGCACGCAATTCTCACAACTCATGAAGGTTCGTGTGTTACAACGACAACACTGTAGAATACACATTCTCGCAATGACAGTGAACATTCTCATAGTAGGCGCTGGCGCCGTCGGTGCATTTTATGGATCCAGACTCGCGGTTGCACCCAATACAGAAGTTTCAGTAATCTGCCGCTCGAACTACAAAGCTGTGTCAGAAGCCGGGTTTTCAGTGACTTCACCAAAATATGGCTCGTATACGTTTGCTCCTCATCGGACTTTTGCAAACCCAAGAGAAGCAATCGAGTCAAAGATTTCGTGGGACTACGTTCTGGTGAGCACGAAAGCGTTGCCAGACGTGAGCGATGATTCTGAGATCTTGGAGGGGCTGTTGGATACAAGACGTACAAGTATTGTTCTGGTACAAAATGGACTGGGTGTTGAAGATCCTTATACCTCGAGATTTCCTGGAGTTACAATCTTGAGTGCAGTTACAATAGTAAGCGCTGCTCAGACCGAACCGGGAGTCATCAAACACAATCGGTGGACGAGAATCAGCGTAGGGCCATATCTTCCTGGTACAACCGAGGAGTCGACGACCAAATCTCACCAACAAGCAATAAACAGTAACCAAACATTTGTTGAGCTTCTCAGAGCTGGAGGCATTGCAGATGCAGATGCGTATTCCCATTCGAAGCTTCAGATGGTAAGATGGCATAAGATTGCAATCAACGCCAGTATGAACCCTTCTGCGGTCCTATCATCCGGAACAACGAACCAAGCAATGTCTTCAGACCCGGAACTGTTTCGACATCTGCAAGGTGTCATGGAAGAAGTCTTGAGTACAGCTCCAAAGGTATTAGGGACACCACTGCCATCTGAATTTGCGACGCCGGAAGCCATATTGAACAGTACAAAAAAGAACAACAGCGGCAGCAAACCGAGTATGCTTTTAGATTGGGAGCAAGGAAAGAGGATGGAATTGGAGGTGATACTTGGGAATCCGATCAGGATAGCAAGAGCACATGGTTTGGAAATGCCTAGGCTCCAGAGCCTCTATGCTCTTCTGCGGATGGCGCAACAGAATAGAGATTCAGCGAAGGGAGAATCAAGTAGGCTATAGACTATGAAATTGGCTTCCATCCAATTCATCGTATCCTTTAGTGCTACGCTCATGCCCTTGCTGAGCATGGTTCCCCAATTTATCGTTGTTTGAGGCTTTTTGGTGACACCGGCTTCGTACAGTTGTGCTTTCCAGACTTTCCGAGCAGAAAATTGGAAAAGGAGACGATAAGCTTGCGCGATTGATGGTGCATACATATGAGAAAAGAAGCCACTAGCTAAAAGAAATTCTGTCATTGGTAACAATAATATTAAACAATCGAAACAGACTTTTGAAGAAAATTAGTTCATCGAGATGAAGTTTTTGTGGTTGTCCCTATCTCAAATGGATTGCAAATGTAAGTTAAGTGCCAAGACAATGAAGGTGGCCAACTGACCAATCACAATCGACAAGAATCTAATGCGATTTCAATCATCACCACGACAATTCGAGCTCCCTCTCAGCAATTGCGCTCTTCAACCACGACAATGGCATCCAAACTCACCCCCCGTATCTTCAGAAGCGCCTTCCGGCCAGCCTGCATAGCTTCGAAGCCAGCATGCCGGTCATTTACGGCGTCTACGAAGAAGGGCAGTGACGCGCTTCAAGTCGTAAGTATATCTTCCGCCTTTTGCCCCTAGCTATAGCATGCTAACAACTCATTTCCAGCATCGAGATACCCCAGAGAACAATGCGAAGATCCCTTTCAAGTTCACTGCGCAGAACAACAAGCTGATCGATGAGATCCTCAAGCGATATCCACCACAATACAAGAAGGCGGCCGTCATGCCCATACTGGATCTTGGACAACGGCAGCATGGATTTACCAGCTTGAGCGTCATGAACGAGGTTGCGAGGATTCTGGAGATGCCACCAATGCGTGTGTATGAGGTTGCTACGTTCTATACCATGTACAACCGGACGCCGGTGGGGAAATATCACTTGCAAGTTTGCACTACGGTATGTGGCTGGACGAATATCAACTGGGCATAACAGTGCTGACGTGAAATATATAGACACCTTGCCAACTCGGCGGCTGTGGTAGCGACAAGATCGTGCAAACGATCAAAGACCACCTCGGTATCAAACAGGGCGAGACTACTAAAGACAACCTCTTTACCTTCGTCGAGGTCGAATGTCTGGGCGCCTGCGTCAACGCTCCTATGGTCCAAATCAACGACGATTACTACGAGGATTTGACCCCCGAGAGCACCGTTGCATTGCTCACAGCATTACAAGAGAGTTCCAAGTCAGTTGGGGGCATTGAGGGTGGAAAGGGTGCTTTGACGGGAAATGATAAGAATGTCAAGAGTGGTGCGGACGTTGGAAAGACCTCTGGTAGGATATACGAGAAGGATGGCGTTAAGATGCCATCGCCGGGACCTATGAGTGGGAGGAAGACGTGTGAGAATCTTAAGGGATTGACAAATTTGACGAGCGAGATGTGGGGGCCTGAGGTATTCCGGAAAGATCTGTAGATGTGAGGTTAACCTTAATAGATGTGTATATATGTGTATTGATCATTGAGCTGCTTGTTGGATCGAAATTGTGTCTTTGAGGTGAGGCTAACATCTGAAGGGTACACTTTTATATGGGCAGTCGAGTTGTACGATAGCGTGCTTTTCGTCTGCTTGTTGTTGTCCTGGCTTTTACAAGTACTGATCTATTGGTCTTCTTACGGGTTCCTGCTTTACCTGTCACGTTATTGGAGCCTTTTCTTTACATTGAATCAGAGTTACGGATGTGAAGCTCTCCTTCGGTATCTCGGTTAGCCATGTTAGCTCAACGACAACTCTGTCGTACATCGTTCAATTCTGTTCTTATCAGTCTGCAATGTCTCACACATATCAAGTCAATGTGAGAAGTCTTATATTCGAAGTCAGACGAGCTTTCCACGATGGTATGCCATCGCCCAATAGCCTTCCACTCAACACTGGGTCAGACACTCCCCACACCAAGCCTATGAAAGGCTCTCTCTTCGGTCACGGTCAGCACTCCTGAGTCGAGTGATCGGTGCCACTCCCCGACATGGTTGCGTGTTTTCCCCTCGAGAATTCGCCATGCACCTAGGGTCTTATCTTCACAGAGAAATGGCCCGAATAGGTTGGACTGACGGGAACCTCACTTGGGAATTTGAAGTTGGGGTCACACACGAAGCACGTTCGAGGCACGACCAAATATTGTACTTCGATTTAGGCATGGCGGGATCTATGGAATATTGCTTCTGGAAGAATGTCTGGTTGGTTCCCTCTCGCGTGTCTGGAAATGCACAACTTCCACTGCTAGTATCTGGCTCAGCCTCAACCTTCTTGCCCCTCTTCGGGTATACGATGCGATACGATACGATACGGAATCGGAAAGGTCGATATCCCACTGACAAGCGTGGCCATTCTGCTGATCTCGACCCGTCTTGTTGGCTCCAACGCTCTTGGCCCGACTGGCCCAGAGGAACCCACCCCACCACCGACGGGCACCCCGCCTCTAGCACGTTGTAGAGCCGGGTCAGCCAGGTGTGCAGGCCAATCAGAATTTCACCAGCAGCGTCTCTTTGGGATGTCGAACCATTGCTTGTCGCTTCTAGAGTACGTCCCCGTGGAATTTGGTTGATCGACTTGAACAGATGTAGCAACTGGGAACGATTCTGCACAAACCCGCGCGTACAGAACACTGGAGGTGGAGAGCAGCGGTGATAGCGCTGCGATGGCTGCATAAGTGGTCCCCTTCTCCATAGCCAAGCCGTCGTTGGGGTCGACAGAAGCAAGACGCCAGAGACCGAAGCTGCCACTGCCACGCACACCACCGACGGTGTCTCTTTTATTATCATTGTCCCTCCTCCCCGATATTTTCTTCCAACTTTTCACTCGAATCGCCGTATCTCTTGTGTGTCGTGTGATTTCTCATTGTGAGACCCAACTCACTCACACCACTTTTGGCAGCTATCACGGGGCGATCCTCCTCCTCAGCTATCGATAAGCAGATAAAGAAACAGAGTGGTAAACACCCTCGCTTTTCAACGTCCAACCACTGCAACGCACCCTCTCGTTCAGGTCGACTTGCGCAAGTGATCATAGTCAGTGTAAGGGTTGCCCTCCACGATGATGCAATAGCAAAACATTTGACCTGCTTGAGAAAACCACCATGGGATGTTTGCTGACTTGAAATCAACAGCATTCCCGCTCACCATTCGCGCTCTCCACCCGACGCTCCTACCGACCCGTTTGAAGGCCAGCAACCAAGCCTCGCTGTTAACACTCTACGTGAATCTTTAAGCATATTCAGTTTGCTCCGTTTTAGACGGCGTCCCTTGATTCAGCATTGTCCATTTTGCTCATACGTAACGAAGATCGACTGGTTCACTTCTAGAAGGTTTCGGGAATCCGTCTTGGACTACGACCCCGCGCGAAAGTCAACCACGCAATCGTGATTCATTGCAGCATATTGTTTTTGCGTCGCACAATTGCGTAAAACTTTTTTCTGGGGCTACGAGCATTTGAAAGACCACAGGCAATCATGGCAACCGCCGCGCCAGAGATGGCCATCCAGTTCTCCGAGCCTGCTGAAATGCAGGTCGAGCATTCCGCAGCTATCGCGATCGAAGCACCGACGAAAAGACGAGGTCGCGCGAAGCTTCTACACGGGTTGCAACGGATATCCTCATCACCAGCTCTTGCTCAGCTGAGTCGAAAGCGGGCGACGAGCAATCCATATGGTGGACGAAGTGCTATATCAGCAGTGAGCTTGGTGCTAGGAAACTCTCCTCGGAGTTACGAGAATTCCTATCAGTCTCAGGCACAGTCGGCTGGATATTCTACAGCCCCTACATCAGGCCCTGGAACCCCTGGCCTTGACACCCCATTCTTCGATGGCTCTGGACGGTTTGCAGCTCGGCGGAAGGAGTTTGGAAATGGCTCACCGGGAACATCGACACCTACTAGTCCTCTATCACGGCCCATGTCAAGAGGTGCATTATCCCCACTTGCGACAAATGAAGCCATTTTGGAGATTCAAGAGGATTACTTTTCCCTGCCATTAACACCTTCGAAGCCTTCACCTCGAGCGAATTTTGATTTCTGGGGAGAATTGCCACATGAAGTAAAGGTGGCTGTGTTTGCATATTTGACGCCAAAAGAACTAGTCCGTACATCAATTGTGAGCAAGAGCTTCTACAGAGCGTGCTTTGATGGGCAATTGTGGACATGCTTTGACGCATCCGAGTTCTACAAGGACATACCCGCTGAATCCCTTGCGAAAATTATTGTGGCCGCGGGCCCATTCGTTAAAGATCTCAATCTGCGAGGATGTGTGCAGGTTGAACATTACAAACGGGCGGAAGTGGTTGTGAAGGCCTGCAAGAACCTGATCAATGCTACACTGGAAGGGTGCCGGAATTTCCAGCGCTCAACACTGCACAGTCTGCTGAGGAGTAATGAGAGGCTGGCAAATTTGAATCTTACAGGGCTCACAGCTGTCACCAATGGTACCTGCAAGATTATTGCCCAGTCATGTCCGTCATTGGAGATCTTCAACGTCTCTTGGTGCACACATATGGATGCTCGTGGAATTCGAGCAGTCGTTTTGGGTTGCCCGAAGTTAAGAGACCTTCGAGCTGGTGAAGTTCGAGGCTTTAACAATATAGATTTGGCTCAGGAGATCTTCGAGAAGAATGGGCTCGAGAAATTGGTTCTGAGTGGTTGTGTTGATGTTACGGATGAAGCTCTCCAGACTATGATTGTTGGAACAGATCCTGAGATCGACATTCTCACTGATCGACCTATGGTACCCGCCCGACGGCTTCGACACTTGGATTTGAGCAGATGTAATCGACTTACGAGTGCTGGAGTGAAGTCTCTGGCGTGGAACGTCCCTGAGCTAGAAGGGTTACAGCTCAGTGGCTGCACTGCTCTGACTGATACAGCACTCATGGAAGTTCTCGAGTCCTCCCCTCGCATTACACACTTGGATCTTGAGGAGCTTTCTGAACTTACCAACACTGTTCTTTCCGAACATCTTGCAAAAGCCCCTTGTGCTCCAAAACTAGTACATCTATCGATTAGTTACTGTGAGAATCTCGGCGACACTGGAATGTTACCGGTTGTGCGAGCTTGTACCAGTCTTGAAAGCATCGATATGGATAACACGAAAATCAGTGACTTAGTTTTGGCCGAAGCAGCATCTATGGTCAGATCTCGCTCCTCACGAACAACATGCTCTCGCTCTCGGCCACGTGTCGGCCTTCGAATGATCGTCTTCGACTGCCAAAACGTCACCTGGACAGGAATCCGCGAAGTCCTCTCCCGCAATTCCGAAGTCCGCAAGCCCAACGGCTCCTCGAACGGCGCTACCTACCCAACTCAAATCATCTCCATGAAGTGTTTCTACGGCTGGCAAATGACGGTCGACGAACACACCAAGCGCGTCCTCCGTGGCGATCTTCCTGCAGCTGGTAGACTCGAGCGCAAATGGACGGAATATATGATGGCGAACGAGGAAGCGGGTGCGGCTGGTGCGGGCGCCCGAAGACGGAGGAGGAGAGCGAGGGAAGCGCAGATGCTTCATGCGGATGAGGAGGAGGGTGGTGTGGGTATGGGTGGGATTGGGCGGAGACGACGCGCGAGGAGTAATGGGTGTTCTGTTATGTGAGATGAGTAGATGAGTTGGTTCGTTCGTGGGTCGGGCATTGAGCATTGGAGGCTTTTTATTCTTGCTTATATATTTGGGATTGGGTTTGGAACTGGATTGGATTGGGGTTTGGTGTTTGAAGGCATTTGGAACTGGCGAATTCTTGGTGTAGATGGGTTGGGGCATTGTATTCCTCCTTTTTGGGCATTGGTTGATTGGGTTCTTGGGAGAATGGTATCTTTTGGTTTGATGGGATGGGCATAGGATACTTTAGCATAGTTGTGTTGGTTGGGGCAGAGATAGCATAGAGTGCTAGATAGATATTTATTACCTACCTTACATATTTGTGGCATTCTATGACTTGTTTCTGATGTAAGGCTTGGGTTTGACGTCTCTGATATTGAAGTGTAAGGTCGTAACCAGGTACCCGGTACGATGGTGTGACTAGGCTAGAACCGTCGATTCGGAAGGAGCACGCTTGGCACGTTCGTGCGTTCTTGCCAACCAAAACAACTCGGTCACGAAACTTTCTAACCCTTCTTTCCCTTTCTAATTCATAGATCTCATAGATCATCACAAACTTTTTGAATCAGTTCAAGGCGACGTGCTCTAGTCTTCTCAGCCTCTTGCAGCCTGTCGTTCTGCCCTGCTCAGCCACGTTGAAGATGGACTGCGAGTGGTTGTCGTTGCGGTCAGCCGCATCGACGGTTGATCTGCCTCGACGTCTTCGATTTTGTGAACCATCTTGCATGAACATCTCATAGTGCTACAAATTGTCTCTGCGATGCATCGTGGTTGCAACGCGAGATTCAGATGCTCGTGGTAGATCTTCATGCAACTTGAGTATATATTGTGGCAGCTACTACAACGACCGCTCAGCGTGGTGCGATTTGAGGGTTGAGTGGCGGCCGAAATATTCGGTATTTATGTGATATTCTTGGTGGTTCTTAGCTGCTGAAGGTTCCCTCCGCACACAAGGTACACAGCGTGGAGCGAGTCCCGAGATGGTATAACTAACGTCTTGACAGCGACTTGCAATATGCCAAGCAAAAGACCAGAGAGACGGCAATGGAAAGATAGACTTCGCTCTCGTGTTAGACGAGCGAAGGAGTTGGGGAAGCAGATTACGACGGTGAAAGCATCTGGTTCGGTCGATCGCGGTGGTGAGACCGTTGAGGGGTTGCATTTGTCTGGGGCAGGGGAAGTAAACATGCTTTCGGATTCCAATTTCTCTGCTGCTGAAGATCTTCAAACCATTTACGCCGTCAATTACTCTGAGGAAGGAGGTCCAAACACCTTCAAATATCCAGCAATCAATCTCCAAACCGACGAAATACGTCTAATTTACCTGGTCCCCAGCGATGTCGCTGAAGATGAAATCCAGTGCAGACTCGTTACTGCAACGCTAGCGCCTGACTTGAGATATGAAGCACTCTCGTACGAATGGGGACCTGAACTGCCTGAACACCAGATTTTGTTGAACGGATTTATCTTCAACGTTCGCGAGAATCTCTGGAACGCTCTGCATAGCCTTCGAACGAAAGATGAAGAGCGGATATTCTGGATCGATGCCTTGTGTATCAATCAACGAAATGTTGATGAACGAAACCATCAAGTAGCTCAAATGGCGAGGATCTACTCTGGCTGCACACGCTGTATAGCCTGGGTCGGGAAGGAGGACATGCCCGGAACAGACGGTATCAAGGAGGACACAAAGTTAGCTGTGGAATTCGTCCATACACGGCTGCCCGGTCATCCTGTTCCTGATTTGCTGCTGGGCAATGATAGGAAAATGCATGCGAACTTCGTCTTACTCTGTCAACGAAAGTATTGGAGTAGACTTTGGATACTTCAAGAGATATTGCTGTAAGTGTCGTTATCACCATATGTATGCGTCGCCTGACTCGTTACGTCCCAGGTCTAGTACAGTCATGGTACAATGTGGTCCGTATGAAATACCGTGGAGCACACTTGTCCACCCATTTCTCAGCAAGACGCCCACGCCCGTTCATCTTATATTTTTAAGGCCTGTCCAACTATCGGTACCATTTGCGCTTGCTTCCCTTTCTCGATCACGCCAGCTACACTCTAGAGATCGAGATGACAAAGTACAAGACCTGTTCAGTCTATCATATCAATTTCGTGACGCCAAGTGCGCCGACACAAGAGACACGATGTTCGGGCTTCTCGGTCTAACAAATGACTGTTGTCGTCAAGCATGTCCAGCGGACTATTCATTCACAGCTGCAGAGGTCTTCAGCAACATGATGTTTCACCATATTGTATGCCACTTCCGGGCTTCATACACTACAATCAGGATAGCCACTGGGTTATATCGAAGGATGAATCTCCAAACACAAAGTACGAGGTTATACAAGCGGAAATCTGATCCCAGTCTTGCCACGTTGGATCATCCTGTCGAACAAGTGCTTTTGGCTTCTCCGGTGTTTAAATTCGAAGATGCTATCAAAAATCGATCATTGCCACGGGAGAACTCTCCGTCGACTCGAAGGCGTGGAGAATCCACGGATCCATTGTTTCGGGCCGCCGTTCAGGTTTTGGATAACTTAATTTGCAATTTTTTTAGGCAGGGGCTTTTCAGCTCAATGAGTGAGGAATCACTTAAAAAATGGCAAACCTGGTTTGTTAGCCTAGAAATGGACCTCATTGCGAGGAGAGCCCCAAAATCCGAACTGCCTCCTTTGTATTTTTTCATAGGAAATTTGCGCACTATTGGAATTGCTACATGTGTGCTGAATCCTGGCGACTCGATATTCTACCCTGACATGGACGACCGTGACCATTTTTCTATCAACCGCTGCGAGTTTTTGCGTCACTCAGAAGAACCTCCAAGCTCTCCTCCAAAGGGTGTATCTATCGATATCCACTCAGCCAGAATCCCAGAATTCTTGAGCTGGATGTTCTTGGTTGATGATCCGTGGTATTCGACTGAGCTTGTAGACGTTCAAGACGAGAGGCTTTCAGAGATAAGTGAGGATTCATCGACAACAAGCACAATGGGATTGACGCTGGATGCGCTCCGCGAGAGAGGGATTAATTCTAGGCGATTTCCGCGGCCGAATCGAGGTCGGGCGGCTGTCCCTACTTATGTACGGGATCCGAAGGGCTGGTTGCCTGTGCAAGCTGCATAGGATGTGATATACAAAGTTACAAGATCGAGAGAATTCGAACAACGAGTACATATAGCATCTTTGTGCAGTCTGGGGATGGGGTGTTAGACCATCACCTTCATGCATTATATAGGTGGTGGGGTTGGTACTTGCTCTAGCCAAGGGAGAAAAGAAGAGAAGACGGTTGTGTGGGAGAAGTTTGGGATCGAAAAAGAGTGCCATACTTGATGAATTGCTTGGTCGATTCGTATATACGGGAAGCCAGGAGTTACAGGTGAGAGAAGGATTGGTCAAAACGAGGTTAGTAAATCACTTTGTTGAACAAAGAGATTTAGTGCTGATCATATATGTAGGTATGAGGTGTTAGGTGTGCGTCGAAGAAATATCCATTAAAGAGGAAGGGTAAGGTTGAGCTGTTTATTGTAAGGATATACCTTTCTATAATTAAGAGCACGACTTACTCACGACAGAAGAAACCAAGACGGACAGCAATCAAACGGTCAAAGATTAAAATCCTATCATCACTACTTCAGCCCCTTCTCTCAGAAGCAACACTCTCAGCAGTCTCATTCAACCTATCCCCCTCATCCTTCAAATCCTCCCTCCTCCTCCCCTCCATCCCCATCCCCGCCCTCTCATCATCCCTTTCCAACCCCCTCGGCACCATCTCGCCCACACTCGCTCCCGTCCCCTCAAGCCCATTCCTCTCCTTATGCTGCCTCATCTCATTGCTCGTCTGGCCACTCCCCGGGTGTCCCAGACCCGTGTGCACATCCTTACTCGTCGCCCCTCCCAGCGTATCCTCCGCCCTTGTCCACGTCTCCTTCGCGATATTCGGGTTCATGGCCTGTCCCGGGATCTCGGATTGCGTGTTTGGCGTGTAGGTTGAGGATTTGGGTGCCGTTCCTGCGGGGAGGGTCTGCGCGTGGAATTCGGGGGCGGCGTCGTTGCCGACTTTTGTGCCGATGGAGTGCTGGGGGGTTGTTAGTCTCGGTAGAAAGGGGTAAAGGGGGATAAGAATTTTGGTTTTGTTTAAAAGGAGAGGGACACGTACGCCGCCTTTCATCATAGGCTCGGCTCTAGGCACCTTGCTGCGGAATTCTCCTTGGTTGGAGACGGCGTCGGGGTTTGCTGACATTGTGAATGTGTTTGTATGTAAAACTTAAAAATGAGTTTGGGTTCTGAGTAATTGAATGGGGTTTATGATATTCAATTGAATTGATTGTTTATAGAGAAGAGAAATAGAAAAGTGTTATGTGATGTGGTTTTGTTCGAATGTAGTAGATAGGGTGACGTGACGTCAAATTTAAAGGTTACATCACTGACCCCACACGCGCTCTAAGATGTACATCGTTAGTGTATTGTGTTACGCCGAAAAGTTAGATGCAAGAGGGGTGGTTCTTCGTATGGGAGGGGGGGATTTTATGGGATTGATGGGTCGGGTTGGTAGGGGATTTGTGCTTGAGGAGTGGGTGGTGTTGTGGTGATGGGTGATGGTTTCGCTTAATGAGGGGGGTGGCGGGATCGCTTGAGAGTATGAGAGGCTAGATTTCGTTTTTGAGATGTATGAATTTGAAAGGTTATTGCTGTTATCAGATTATCGAACTTTCTATTGGGAGGTTCTAATGTCTAGACTTCCAATTTATACATCTGCTCTGTACAACAACACGTTTTCAGCCAAGTCACCAATTGCTATCATTTCGTCCCTACGATATCGCCAACCCATACCGCGACTTTCTCGGCTATAATCTCGCTGTGTCCTATGCCATGTTAGTCCTCAGTATGAGGAATAGTGCTTGGGGTCCTTACTTATACAAAAGTCGTGGGGGATGTCTACTTTATCTACGATCATCACTGGTTTTGAGCCGGAGTCTGTGTCGCTCTGGCCTCGTGCTGCTATGAGTACGTCGCGTGTTTCGGAGGAGACCCAGCGGTCCTGGTGCTTGTTAGTTGAGAACGGAGAAGTGAGAGAAAATTTCTTACCTCTTTACCAAAATAGAAAATCAGTTTTGGAGCTTGATCTGTAGTCTCTAGACCTTTGTTCTCAACACCCCAGACTTCTTCGTCCCACCGGTCTTCTGAGATTTGTTTCATCTCCTCGTCGGCCAGTGAACTGCCTATATTAGTATATAATCGCAAGACTGGGTGGGATGTAATATGAAACTCACAAAGTCTGCCAAATCCCCATCCGACTCTTCAAATACCTCGTAATCTTCCCCGCCGCCTCATCCGGCATTCGAGCAAACACACCCACCAACCACCGCAACGTCCTCGTCGGCGTCAAATCTACCAACGTCTTCGCCGCCGTACTGACTCTCTTAGCGAACCCGGGGATCTTGAATAACCGCGTGAAACGTAAACCGTTAGGACTCTTCGCGATATGTGTTACGGTCGCGAAGAGCAGAATGGCGGCACGGATCTTGATGGGTGAGGAGCGTTTTCGTAGACGTTGGACTATTTCTAGGGCCATCCACGTGCCGAGGGAATGCCCGATTAGGATTACATTGTCGAAGGGCTGGCCTTTTCGTGGACCGTCTGATATCCGGAGGCTTTCTAATGAGTTTAAGGAAACTTCTATCACCTCTTCGAGAGTGTATGGTGTTCGCTGCGTGTCGGTGGATGAGAATGTGGTTGCTGGCTCGAAACCAGCGAGGGATCGGCCATAAACGGAAAATATGTCTGATTCTGGGGATGTGGTGGGTGAGTCTGATATCAGTGTGTGTAGGGTGTTGAGGAAATTGTCGTAAAGCCCGATTACGCCTGGGTTGCCGGTGATGAAGTAGATGAGATGGTGTTTTGCTGATGGGGGGGAGGTTTTGGGTGGGAGTGAGATTTGGGCGTATGAGGGTGTGGTTTGGGTTGGTGAGGACATTGTATATCCTAAGTTCCTAGGATCGCTTGCTGGACCACTCGAGTACCTATGTATGTCTTTCTTCTGGGTACCTGGTTGGTACCTTTCCTCTAGTATTAGGTCAATTGTGCTCAGAGTGTGACCTTGAAGTCTTTGTGATCATGTGATTATAGTCGTAATTTTAAAGACCGCTCAAGTTGATGTCTTTAAACAACAAAAGGAGATATTGAGAGTTTTAGTATGTACAGAAATGTTTGCCTGGTAGAAGCCACGCGTTGTACCTGGTTTGAGCTCGGGACTCTGCCAATTTCCAAGCAGAAAATTCCGGTAGCCGAAAAAGGCAAAAGTGCAGTTAACGCGTTGTACATAGGCCAATATAAAACCGTATCGGATCCTGGAACGCCTTGTTGCTAGGGTCTCTTAGACAGTTTGTACCCGTCAAAGTTCGTTCTAGACGGCGGACTGCTCCTAAGAGCATCGATAGAGCAGCATAACCTGCGTATCAATTGAAACGCCTCCACATAATATCTTGATAAAACGAAGGCGACAGCCTCGGCCACTGACTTCCTCCAATCTTAATGAATTATTTATAGTTGAAATAACATATTTACCAACTCACAGCTCCATCCGGCGCGTTATGGTATTTCCTCACTATTCCCTTTGAACCTCCCAAATTTGATGTTGCTCGTGTCACGTGATATTTTAGACCATTTCTCGCACTCTGATTCGCTCGGTTACCACTGACTAATCCCCTCACCCCAGCCGCCGCTCGTTTTCCACTTTCGCAGCTGGAGCCTTCGCCTTTGAGTTGAAGTCCATCCATCACGACCACCAGCCATATATCGTGCGCCTTGAGGTACCGCTACCGAACCACCCCCCTTTATCCCCGAGGAACACCACCCACCACAACCACCTCGTCGTCGACGACGCGACTCACATCTTGCACATCGTCGCCGTCGCTGTGCGCCCGACCCGCGCCCTTTGGCACGACGCTTTCGGTCATCAATCACCACCACCTTTTTATCATCAAACGCCCTCCGCGCACCTCGCGCCAAGCGTGTTGCATCTACAAAAAGTTATCCGCCATCAATAACGAACGCGACAACGCGAGATTCTCTCCCCTTTATCTTCTTAGCGATAATTTGACACGTCCAGACGTTTTTCCACAACGCTCTGCCTCGCATTGATACCCGCGACGACACATTCATTTATCAACGAAGCATTCTTCAACATCAGATCTGATGCGCAAGGCTGGCTCTTGATATGCGCTGAATGAACCACAAAATCCGCAACGAGACAATCGCATAAAATATATCATCGCTCTTGCAACATGGCTTCCGTTCAGAACGCTCCGGCGGTTCAGCAACCGGGGATGCCAGGACTAAATGCCCAGCGGCATCAACAGCAGGCACAAATAGTTCGAGATGCTCTCAATGTAAGATTAGGAACCAATCTTCTTTACGTCATACTAGCCTTCGTATTATTGGCCAATGCTAACGACGTGTAAAGAAAATGAAACAGATGAAAGAGCAAAACGTGTCCGAGAAAGATCCCGAATATATCAAAGTCCTTACCATTCTCAATGGGCTCAAGGCACAACAACAGATGTTACAGAACCAAAAGGCTGCTTATGCTCAAGCCCAACAGCAGCAGCAGCAAAATCCTAATCAACAAGTTAATCCTTCGAGCGCGACAAATGGCACAAACGGCACACGCGCACCAACTCTCTCAAATAATAATGCTCCCAATGCTACTCAAACTCCCACCTCCACACCACTGGGACCTTCCGCCATACCCACAAGCTCTGCAGCACCAATACCCAAGGGCGCAGTTCCTCGATCGGCGCCTGTTGGGAGTGGATATTTTTCTGCTCAGCAACTTAATACCCTCAAACACCAAATATCAGCCTTCAAATGTCTCTCAAAGAACATGGGCATCCCAGCGCAGCTCCAGCAAGAGCTGTTTGCGTCCCAGCAACGAAAAAAGCTATCGCAAGGTCTAGACCACCCTCTCATAGCAGCCCCTAGTTCTACGGACGATGCCAGCTCGACAAACAATGGCGGGGAATCATCCAAAGGAGAGGCGGAGCTTGTACAGAAGAAGCACGAGTATACTGGTTTTGTATCACCATATACGCAGCTCACCATTCCTATGCACTATTCCAAGCACAAGGTCCGCGACCTACGGCCTACGATTCCCAGCATCATGCCAACCGGTGTTGACTTTGAAAAGCTTCGTAATGAGAGAGAGATTATAATTTACAACCGCATGCAGGCTCGATTGACTGAGCTTAAGTCTTTACCTGCAAATATCGCACATTTAGACGCATCAAGCGATGAACTCGTCCCCGATGACTCTGTAAAACGAAAAGCTTTGATCGAGATGAAAATGCTGGGACTTTATCAGAAACAGAAAGCCATGCGAGATAGAATCGGACGCTCAATTGTGCAATACGACAACCTTGCTATGACCGCAAACAGAAGCCATTACCGACGAATGAAGAAGCAGTCACTACGGGAAGCTCGCATCACAGAGAAGCTTGAGAAGCAGCAAAGAGATGCGCGTGAAAGCAGAGAGAAGAAGAAGCATTCTGATTACATCAGAACAGTTCTTCAACATGCTCAGGAGATTGCCACTGCTGCTAATAATCAGAAGTTGAAGATGCAAAAGATTGGTCGCATGATGATAATTCAACATCAGAACATCGAAAAAGAAGAACAGAAGAGAATCGAGCGAACTGCCAAGCAACGTCTCCAGGCTCTTAAGTCTAACGATGAAGAAGCTTATCTCAAGTTGCTCGATCAGGCAAAGGATACCCGTATCACCCACCTTCTCAGACAAACCGATGGCTTCTTATCGCAACTTGCGGCCTCGGTCAAGGCGCAACAGCGAAAAGCTGCTGAGCGTTACGGCGAAGGTGGTGATTTCGAAGAATCCGAGGAGGAGGACGAGGAGGAGGAGGTCGACACCCGCAAAATTGATTACTATGCAGTTGCGCATCGCATCAAGGAAGAGGTCAATGCGCAGCCATCTATTCTGGTTGGCGGTACATTGAAGGAGTATCAATTGAAGGGTCTTCAGTGGATGATTTCGCTTTACAACAATAACCTCAATGGTATTCTAGCCGACGAGATGGGTCTCGGAAAGACAATTCAGACAATCAGTTTGCTCACCTATCTCATCGAAGTCAAGAAGCAAAAGGGTCCTTTCTTGGTTATTGTCCCACTGAGTACCTTGACGAATTGGAATTTGGAATTCGACAAGTGGGCGCCTTCAATTGTGAAGATAGTCTACAAGGGGCCGCCGATGGCTAGAAAGAACCAGCAACAACAATTGCGGTACGGCAATTTCCAGGTTCTTCTAACCACGTACGAGTACATCATCAAAGACAGACCAGTGCTTAGCAAGATTAAATGGATTCATATGATCATTGACGAAGGTCATCGTATGAAGAACGCATCTTCTAAACTCAGCGCAACTCTTACCCAGTACTACGCCACTCGCTATCGTCTGATTCTTACGGGTACGCCTTTACAGAACAATCTTCCTGAATTGTGGGCTCTGCTCAATTTCGTCCTTCCAACAATTTTCAAGTCGGTCAAGTCCTTCGATGAGTGGTTCAACACACCGTTCGCCAATACTGGTGGCCAGGACAAGATGGAGCTTACAGAAGAAGAGCAGATTCTTGTCATTCGCCGTCTCCACAAAGTGCTTCGTCCCTTCTTGCTTCGTCGTTTGAAGAAGGATGTCGAGAAGGATCTGCCTGACAAGACAGAAAAGGTCATCAAGTGCAAGTTTTCCTCACTGCAAACTCGTCTGTACAAGCAGCTGGTTACCCACAACAAACTCGTTGTCGGCGATGGAAAGGGTGGCAAGACCGCCGCTCGTGGTCTGAGCAACATGATCATGCAGCTGCGTAAACTTTGCAATCATCCTTTCGTATTCGATGAAGTCGAGAACCAGATGAATCCTCTCAACACCAGCAATGATCTCTTATGGCGTACAGCAGGTAAATTTGAACTTCTCGATCGAGTCTTGCCCAAGTACAAGGCAACTGGTCATAGAGTGCTCATGTTCTTCCAAATGACCGCTATCATGGACATCATGGAGGATTACTTACGCTACCGGGGTATCAAATTCATGCGATTGGACGGTACCACTAAGTCCGACGATCGTTCTGAGCTCCTGAAGCTATTTAATGCGCCCGACTCGGAGTATTTTATCTTTTTGCTATCTACCCGTGCTGGTGGTCTAGGTCTCAATTTACAGACCGCAGATACCGTTATCATTTATGACTCTGACTGGAATCCCCACCAGGATCTTCAAGCCCAGGATCGTGCGCATCGTATTGGACAAAAGAACGAGGTCAGAATTCTGCGATTGATCAGTTCGAATTCGGTCGAAGAAAAGATCTTGGAACGTGCCAAATTCAAGCTTGACATGGATGGGAAAGTTATCCAGGCTGGTCGTTTCGACAACAAATCGTCCGAGACCGATCGGGAGGCTATGCTTCGTGTCATGTTGGATACTACGGAAGCGGCCGAATCTTTGGAACAAGAAGACATGGACGACGAAGAACTGAACATGATATTGGCTCGTTCTGATGACGAACTCATCAAATTCAGAGAGATGGACGAGGAACGGGCCAAGGACCCTGTTTATGGGCCTAATGCCGGAGCTAATTTTATGCCCCGTCTGATGGCAGAAAATGAGTTGCCTGAAATCTATATGTCAGATGGAAATCCAGTGCCGGACGAGCCAGAAGAGATCAAGGGCCGTGGTGCTCGTGAGAGAAAGGGTGTCAAGTACGACGATGGTCTCACAGAAGAGCAATGGCTGAATGCTGTCGATGATGACGAGGACAGTCCAGAGGCTGCGGCAGCTCGAAAGCAAGCTCGTAAAGAGCGGCGGGAACGAAACCGTCTTATTAGATCGGGCGAGATTTCTGGTGATATCGAAGCATCTCCGCCAGGTAGTCGAGACACCTCTGAGGAGCCTCCAGAGCCAACCCCTCAGAAGAAAGGTCGTGGCCGCAAGCCCGGAAAGGTCGAGAAGCGCAAAGCCGAAGAGCTGAGCGAAGAGGAACGACCTGCGAAGAAGAACAAGCGCGGTGGGCCAGGACGACCAAAAGGTTCGGCAGCGAATGGCAACGGTATGAGCGTTCAGTATCGAAACACTCTTCAGGCTAGTCTAAGGGCCATATACGACAGTCTGATGAAACTAGAGTCCGTCACCGAATCCGAAGGTTCGGACGACGATGATGACGAGGAAGGAGGCAAACGCCTGATCATTGGCCCTTTCATCGACCTGCCACCCAAAAAGCTCTTCGCCGATTACTATGCAATCATTCCAGAACCTATTGCGATGAAGCAGATCGATAAGCGCATCAAGAAGGAAGAGTACTCGAGCCTGAACGATATGCGCAAAGATATCAAGTTACTTGTTGCAAATGCAAAGCAGTACAACGAGGACGGCAGTGTAATCTTTGTTGATGCCGTTGCTATTGATGTGAGTTCCACTTCTTTCTGCTTTAGACCTTTTTGAATATCTACTAACTTATTACAGAATGCTTTCGAATCCAAGGTCGCTGATGAGATCGCTGATCATCCGGAACTGGGTGAAGACTCGATGAATGGCGGCTCAACCGCGCCCACGACCAGCGCGGGCACCCCAATGCCGGCATCAGCAGCTAAACTAAAACTCAACTTCAACAAACCCATGGCGAATGGTGGAAGCAGTGGTGTACAGAGTGACGACGAGTAAGACCATATGTCCATTCCGCGTTTTGGCGTACAGGAGTTTTCATGGTCGGGGGGCTTGCATTTTTGCTTTTACTTTGACCTGCGACTCAGGGGTGTGTCGGGGGTCGCTTGTATTAAATGGCGTTTTTTATTCAGATCTCATGATACACATGGAAAAATTCGGCGGGTGGCGGTTGTTGTGGCAGAAGATGTTGTATTGCGAGACGTGGCCTGCTCATTATGGGGTCTGCTGGGCTTTGAGTTTGATTCTTGGCCTGGGTGTAACGTTAATAGAATAGGAATAAGAGATGTATGAGATGAGTTAATTATTATAATGGTTTTGGATTCTCGATGGGAGGGTGATCTCATGTGTTTTGAGGTTAGTTGATGGCTGAGTGCTTCTGTACGGAATGTGTTACGCACGCAACGGTATACGTGCTCCAAGTGTGTGAAGGATCACCATTTAATGCTCCTCTGCTTGGGCTTTGTCCCACAATGCTTGCAACGATCAAACAGATCTTCACAATTTATCTACGACGTTCACATCGCAACCCACCTACCTGTTCATGGCTATAGTGGATATCATCCGTCAACTCCTCTCATCACCTTGTTACGTATCCAAATCACCTTGGTGGTTGTTACGAGGGGTTCCGGAATGTTAGAGCCCGGACGAGGAAGTGCACTTGGGGACGTGGTTATTAATCTTGAATGGGATCTTCTGAGTGAATGAGAGGTGCTTTGAGCACGATAGATAGGCGCGCTCGAAGCTGTATGTACGAAAGGTACCGGACTGGGAAATATGCGTTACACATCGCAAAAAAGTTTAGTGTAAGTTTTTGTGGAGATGGAAATGATTATTAAGTCTAGCACAGACGACTAAACGTGTCTGAGCATGAAATAATCTGTTGCATGGGATGGTTGGCGGCTGGGTAGTGATATGTAATAGTTCTGTATGTGACGGTGTAGAAGTGCCCAGACGATGACTTGGGCCCGTTGACGCTTGATTGGATCAAGCTATGTAGATCTCTGGAGCATTTGAATACCGGCATTTGCGTCTGACGCGAGGATGAGGCTAGGTATTGACTTTGAAGGGTTGTTTGGAACGTGGATGTAGGTGTGGGATATTTGTCACATGACTCTAGTTACATAGAACGATTTTGGTGGTGGTGATGAATCGTAACTTCTTACTATTTAATGAAAGAAAACTCAATGGTTTAACGATGCTGTTATCCTGAGCTGAAATGGAAAGCTTGATGAGGATATGATTTCCATGGTTGAGGGAGAAAGGTTACTGTACCGGTGACATAACTCGGATGTATTTCCGAGCTAGTCGTATTACTGTACAGTTAATTCCACTTATGTATGCAGCTTCTTGACGACATCGCAAAGAGGTCTGATCCACCAAATAAGGATATCTATCTGTAAAGTATATAGTATGATGGCCCTCGAATTGAGTCAGAAATGAAATAGAATAATTACCTCGAAGTCATCATGGACGGCCACAAAGTAGACTCTCACAACCCGCCCGAAACAGTTCATTTGATCGTCCAAGCTGGCGTCGCCAAAGCAAAATTACCATGGCTCGACCTCACAGTTAAATCCTTCTTCGGCGGCTTCTTCATCGCCCTAGGCGGTCTGATAGACCTCGTCGTCGCCGGCGGCTCCCCCAGTCTCCGCGCCTCAAACCCAGCTCTCGCAACCGTGATCGCGGGATTCTTCTTCCCAACCGGCTTCGTCCTGATTCTCTTAACCAACATGGAACTCGCAACATCCAATTTCTTTACCATGACGGCATCGACGCTGGCGCGAAAGACTACGCTGTACGATTTGGCGAAGAACTGGATCGTTAGTTATATCTTCAATGTTGCTGGCGCGCTGTTCTTCGCGGGCATTCTGGCTTGGTGGTCGGATGCTCTCAATACGGATGCTCAGACTGCGTGGGCGGTTTCGCAGGCGGAGCCGAGGGTTAATGTGACTTGGGGATATAACTTCACACGCGGTATCGGTTGCAATCTTCTCGTCGCGCTGGCAATGTACCTAGCAACCTCGGGCCGTGACAATACATCGAAGATATACGGGATATACATTCCGATCTGGGCGTTTGTGATTCTCGGATACCAGCACAGTATTGCGAACTACATGAATGTGCCGCTGGGGATGTTCTATGGGACAAATTTCGGCGTGGGGAAGTTCATCTGGGCGAGTTGTATTCCGGTGACGTTGGGGAATATTGTTGGAGGTGCTGTGCTGGTTGGTCTGCCGTTGTGGATTTTGTATGGAAGAGGGCCTGAGATTGTGAATGAAGCTGGAATGAGCGGGACGAAGCCTGGTGAGGATAAGGAGGAGATGGGTAGAAACGCGGGCGCCAATGGTCATATATCAGGTGGTAGACATCGTGGAGCGGATGCAGTTTGAAGATGGAACATTTTAATGTAGATCTAGAGCGTGTAAGAAGTATAACACAAAAGTGGATTAAATAGAAGAAGAGAACATATCAATTAGAAGATTAAAGATACACTTGCGTTAATATTTCGGCTTTAGCACATTTATCTCCGAGACATTGTTCTGGCGGAAGTGCCCGAGTGACGCCCCACCATATTGCAGCTGTCATGGTGGTGTAGCTCCAGACAGCAACCTCACGACAAGCTCTAGATGCTAGCCAAAGCTCGATTGAGTATTTTCCTGAGTTCATTCAAGCTACCGAGAACTTACACAAGGCAATATACAACCACGAACTCTGCGAACATGGCTCCTAAGCAGATCTCTTCGTCTGCAGCCAAAGCACACGACTTTATTGATTTCCTCAACACATCTCCCACCCGTAAGTATCTCTAGATATGGATCTACTTGGAATGATTCTAATTGATTCGAAGCATATCACGCCGTCCATTCTGCGATCCAACGTCTCAAAACCGCCGGCTTCAAAGAAATCAAAGAACGAGATAGTTGGTCCTCGACTCTGGTCCCAGGCGGAAAATACTACCTCACTCGCAATGGATCCTCCATAATCGCTTTCGGAATTGGAAAGAAATGGAAAGCTGGAAATCCATTCGCCATGGTTGGCGCACACACAGATTCTTGTACACTCCGTCTGAAGCCAGTGAGCAAGAAGACGGGGGCAGGGTTCATGCAAGTCGGCGTGGAGGCATATGGTGGTGGGATATGGCATACTTGGTTTGATCGAGATCTGAGTATTGCTGGCAGAGCGATGTGCAAAGATGGGAAGGGGAATATTGTTAGCAAACTGATCAAGGTGGAGAGACCTATCTTGAGGATTCCAACGCTGGCTATACATCTTAGTCGAGCTTCCAATTTCGAACCAAATAAAGAGACGGAGTTGTTCCCGATTGCTGGTCTTATTGCTGCGGAATTAAATCGGACTGGCGCAACGGAGAAGAAGGACGATAAGGAAGATGAGAGCGAGAAGCCTTTCAAACCTCTGCAGGAGCTTTCGGATCGCCATCACCCTTATGTCGTGGAACTTATCGCCCAGGAGGCTGGCGTTGAGGTTGAGGATGTTGTGGACTTCGAAATTATCCTATATGATACCCAAGATGCCTGTATTGGAGGCATCAACAACGAGTTGATCTTCGGAGGACGTCTAGACAACTTGGGCATGACATACTGTGCCGTCGAAGGTCTCATCGGTTCTGTATCCGATCCATCTGCTTTGGACGACGAATCAAGTATCCGCTTAATCACCTGTTTCGACCACGAGGAAATCGGAAGCACATCAGCCCAGGGTGCAGGGTCGAATTTTCTTCCCGCTATTCTAAAAAGACTTGCGGTACTTCCATCACATCACGAATCTGGATCCGACAAATCTTACGAGAAAGTCAACAAAGATGAGGTTGATATTTCTACAGCCTACGAGCAGAGTCTCGCAACCTCATTCTTAATGTCGGCAGACATGGCCCATTCTGTCAATCCTAATTACCTAGGGAAATACGAATCTGATCACCGTCCTGAAATGAACAAGGGGACAGTCATCAAAATCAACGCGAATCAGAGATACGCAACCAATTCCCCCGGTATCGTCCTAGTAGAAGAAGTACGTTCCAACCCCCCTTCATACGTTCCATGCTAACGAAACCCAAGGTCGCCAGAAGAGCAAAACCAAGCCAAGACTCCACAACATCCAACGGCGTACCTCTCCAGCTCTTTGTCGTCCGCAATGACTCTCCTTGCGGCAGCACCATTGGCCCTATGCTCTCCGCTGCGCTAGGCACACGGACACTTGATCTGGGAAACCCGCAGCTTTCAATGCATAGTATTAGAGAAACGGCAGGAGCCTATGACGTTGAGCACGGCACAAGACTGTTTGAGTCTTTCTTTGAACATTTCTCGGAGCTGGAGTCGAAGATTTTAGTTGATTGAATAAACTTCTTGTTTTTGGTGAAAATTTAGAAATTGGGCTTTCTGGATGCTTTGTGAATTGTTCTGTTCCTCGAGTAGATGTTTTATGCTCATTTTGATGTTTTCTTGTAACGAAAACGCCCTACACACGCTACAATCATCAATGCTTCCGAATCTTCATTAGCTGTCAAATCACCCACTTCGCGAAGCCATCGAATGGTCAAGTTTAGTACAGGGAGACTACTTGTAAAATACGACAAAACCCCAAAATTACTTGGTCGCCTGAAAGCGAGCAATCGAAACATCTTGAATGGTATAGACTTTGCGCGGCACATCCAAACCTAAACTAAAAGGAAAGGATCTCTACGTAAGCTTCCACGGTTCTGACTTTGAGGTCGAAAAATTTCCAAGAATCCGTGAATTCAAGGTCGTCGAAATCATGAAAATACACCTCTACCTCAAATCAACTAAACCAAACACCATCCTCCTTTAGTGGTAGCTATGATCTACCACCCCTATCCCATGGACAGCTATATAGCTGTACTGTATTCTCTGACCCATGTCCACCAAGTGCACGTCCTGTCTACTCGGTCAAAGTGCTAGACGTGTTGAGGCATGTGTTACATTTCAGACAGAAGGGGTTTGTATATACAGTGGATCTTGGGACTGAAAATATGAAGACGGGAGACGAAATACTCATGGGCGTCGCGCCGATTGCTTTAGCTTGATGGCGTGGGAGGATGTTGTCTTTTCAAATATTCTATCTCATACCGCCCATCCTCCCCTCCTAGTATGGAGGAGTACCGTCCTATCGACCTATGCAAGATTGCTAGTAGTGACTCCATATTGAAGAAGTTCCCCTCCGTGTATTTTCTAGAAATTCGGCGAGGAGAATTCCGGATTATCTAGCTCTTGGGGGAAGTCTGAGGGGTTTGGACGCGGAGTATTGGGAAGAGTGTTATATTAGAAAGGGATTTTGGAGGAGATTTAATTAGAGTGTTGGGTGCTAGATGTTGTGGCATCGGAGTTCTGGGGGAGTGTATGTAATTTCTTGCAGAACTCGAAGAATAAATTCTAACCTCAACCACTTCGAGAATTCATTTCTGTAACATCACTTCCAGCCCATCCGAGAGGATAGAAAGCATGTCTTTGCTCGGATTGCGGTGGTTCAGAGTTTGTGTAGCTCTTTCTTATGTACTGCATTACGGGATGGGTCCAGGCCCTGTGGGAGGATATGTCACTTCTCACTTTATCAAGATTTATGACGACGTGTGTATACACATGAGAGAGACAAGGTGATTAATGCTAGATAAGCTGTATACCCATCCTTTTATATGTGAGATTTGAAATATAAGATAGATATCTAAGGTAGACTTTAGAGGTGTGGGATTAATAGCTGTAGTACTCTGCTTTCGTAGTTAGAATACCTTTATATCATTTATCAAGTTTATAGTACTTACTTTATATAGAAGCTTATCTACACAACTTAACAATTAAACATTTTAATTTCTATAGAAGATAAATCTTTTAATCTATAAGTCCCTATACGATTTAACAGTATTACAATATCTATAATTTCTATAATGTCTACAATGCTTATTCCTCTTACAGACCCTATGTGTTTTAAAGATCTTAATATTGTACAATTCTAATTTTTTTTTTTTTACTAATAATTATAATTCTTATAACGTCTATAATTGTTATACCATTCTAGAATTCTATAATGTTGGAAATTATTCTAATATTTATAATTCTTATAACGGTTACAATTCTTATACAGGTTATAAATTCCATAGACGTTATAATTCTCACAATGCCCATAAATCAGATCTGTAATATCCGAGCACAAAGGGAGCCGTACTACTAAATAGGAGTGAATATCTTTCGTTCTCAAACACAAGCCCGCGCACATGTTCACTATCACAATTTGAGCAACAGGAAACCATTTACCTCGGTGCGAACGCCTCAAAGCTGCTGGAGTGATAAAGCAGTGAAAGCATTAATGTCACGTAAAAACAAGAAAAAGGCAACAAAGTCTCAAAACATCGTCCTATTTTAACATCCCTCACTCAGGCTCTCTATCAACCACAGTATCCAACCCACCAGAAAGACAGCCCTTCCCTCCCCCTTATTTACCCCCTAAATAATACACATCCCCCTCCTCCTCCTCCTCCACACCCCACAAACGCTCCTTCAAAAGAATCCCAGTTTTCATGACATCATGTCACATAACAATGCCTTTCCCAAACCCCAAACCCATCTATCCCATTTTGCCAAACCCCAGTTCACAAAAAAAATAAAAAAATCCCAGTCCCAAACGTTCCCAAAGGCCCAGCCCCGATCCATATTACACCATTTTCCACAAAACAAAACAAAGTAAAAAAAGAAGCCCCGCATGGTGAAATGCCCACTAGAAAGGTATCAAAAGGAAACGTACGTGAGAGACAGTAAGAATATAAATACATGAACAAACAAAAAAAAGAATTCCCGTGGGAAGGTTGAAAAAGCCCCGTCTATGCCGCCAAAAAGATCGCCAGGTGAAGATGAAAAAACAAAATGGTATGTTAAAACCCGGCACCGAGAATGTAAGAACAAATGAAATCCATAGTATCATGTCACGTTGTGTTGCTCGTGGACATGCCGCTTCGTCTTGGTGCGAGATTGCGGCATGAAACACGCAGCGTTGGTTCGTTCGCATAGTGCGCCGTATATGAGTGTTGTTGAAAGTGTATTTACTTCTGAGGAAATAGCGTGTAGCTTCCTCTCTTCTTGCCACCGATGATGGTGGCAGTAGCGTTGTAGGTTCCTGCTCTTGGTCGACTCATGAAGTCTTTCATGGTCGACGTGACGGGTGCCGAGGTTTTCCTGCCGTGAAGTTGCGCACGTGTTGCGATCTGCTCCTCAGAGTACACCTCAGCAACAGGGCTGAGACATGCTTTGCCGTTCACGCCTCCAACCTCTGGTGTCTTGACGGTAAGAAGAGACTGCGACAAAGGCTTGGATTCAGCTTGCAGAGGTGTGGGTTCTGCCGCTAGCAGCTTTGATTTGACTGTGTCGTTGATCACAGAGTGCGCTTCAGAGGAATTTGCCGCATCATCTGTCTGCTCACTGGACACTTCATGCTTGTTAAGACTCGAGGTAATGAGATCAGGGAGGGAAGACGATGAGCTGATACTTCTGTAAGCGTCTCCGCTGAACCGTGAGGTCGCGGAAGAAAGTCGAGTGCTTGACGAGCTGCGTGCTGAAACACGTGAGAAGTCGGATGAGCGATAAGACACGACGCTTGAAGCAGTCTCATCAATTGGTGAGTTGGGTGTCTGGTAATGTTCCTGGTCGATGATCGTTGCAGAGGTTGTGTCTTTATCGAAATGATCATTGTACGTGTCATAACTTTCCAGATCCATCTGAGCTTGGAAATCAGCAGGAATGAGAAGGGTAGGCGACAAGTTGAAGCCATGACATTCTTTGAAAGATGAAGCTTGAGACAAGGATCGAACGCGGCCGAAGTTTTGAGGGGTGCGTGGGTTGGAAGAATTCGCAGAGGTGTTCGACATGGGCGACAACTCAGGAACGTCAAAGGCGGAGGGGATGAGCAACGAGGGACGGAAGCGACCGGTATAGACAGCGCGATCATCGTCTCCGAGATGCAATGCCAAAGGAGGCCCGGCTACGATAGTAGAATCATCCATAGAACATCGATCCCACTGATAGTCGCAATCTGCCTCGATTTCATGATCGTAACAGTAGTCGATGTCATCTTCCCACGAATCGTCCTGGAGTCGGAATCCAGGCGACAGTGGACGCGCAATTTTTGAGGAAGTCTGCATCAGAGCAGGGAGCTCAATATTAAACGCGTCATGTTCTTGAGCCTTTGTTCGGAGAGCGGGCGTTGACTTGGATGCTCTCAATTCAAAGCTGGTTCTAGAGTTTCTTGGAGCAGCTTCTTCTTCCTCCTTGACGTCCGGAAGCTCGAAACCAAAGCTACCATTCAATGAGGCTGTCAATGGCCATGCCTCATTGCCCGGCGTTGTGAGAGCATGTGAAATTTGATCGTCAGTCTCCAATACAACACCTTGAGACGCGTCTGAATTCGCGTCTTCTGATGATGGAAGTGGGAGAAATGGTGCTGGGCGTCGAAATCCTCCACTGGTTTGTGGCCGGTCAATAGTGGTGGTAGCCAATGGATCAAATGTGTCGAACAAGACCGAGGCAGTTCGAGACGAGGTTCTCGCGGGTAGTTCCAGTGGGCACTTTGGCGACAGTGGCGATCGAAGTGGTCGTGGGGGAGCGGCCCGCAGATTGTCATGCGACTTGGTGTGTGAGACAGTACGTTGCAACACTGGAGGACGTGACGACCTGCGATGCATGACTTTAGACAATGAGCTACCAGAAACTGGGTGCTCGTCTTCCTCGGCCAAAACATTCAACGCTTCGGATGAGAAGTTCTCAAAGTGTAGATTTTGTGCTTTGATACCCTTCAGCTCTCCATGTGTAGGTAGTTGTGACGCTCGAAGCGCAGAGAACTCGGACTGCAGCTCTGTATGACTGGTGTGGAGGTTTGGCATATTCTCTCGATGCGTGTGCGTAACGTGCTGGAAGTTGTACGGTGCAGAGATATGATGTCGTCCCTTCGTCTGAGTCCCTCGTCCGTGATTGTTTGACCTTCCATGGTCTTTCGTTATCTCTTCTTCCGCAATTCCTGCAACGATTGAATTCGCTCGCTTCGTTCTTCTTCCATTTCTCGAAAAGATCGAACCAAAGAGTTGAGTACTTTCAGGTCGTTCTGAACGCGACAATGTCATTCTGCTTTTAGTAGAGCGGCCCGAAGACTTCCTTGACAAGCTCGCTGATTCTGTTGAAGCATATGTCGATGAGCGAAAGGAGGAGGAAGCAGAAGACGTAGAGAACGTGTTGGTTCTGGAATTATTGCCAAAAATAGAGCTCCTCTTCATCTGTTCTGTGTATGCTCGTATGCGTTCAGGGGACGGTGGTCCATCAATCGCTGGTCCCATAGAATCTTCAGATGAATAAGTTTCAGCATTAGGTGCCGTCGTAGGGATATCCTTCATTTTCGCCTGATAAATTTGGGGATATGCTGCTTTCCCAGTACTAAAGCTAAACATCCTTCTGTTATAGCAGTTGTGAACTGCTACCGTTGAATAATTGGGTGGTGGATGAAATGTATTTTAAGTATTCATGCGGCGGACAGGGGAAACCCAACTATATTAACCATGGAAGAGAATTGCTGACTTTTCGCGTAACGGAATAACGCGTCGACAGGCTGTGTGACACGCCGCAGCCACGAGAATCTTTACGAATAATTGTTGGGCGGTATAGTTGTGGTTCAATGTTCTGGTCTTTGCTGTAGAAGAAAGGTCGAGAAGACTGATGTTTGAATGTTTCAATGAAGCAGACGTTGGAGCTAAAAACTAATCTTGATCAGTACTTGCTATAGGACAGTGGCTATAATCATCTTGGGTCGGATCAAGAGGAGATTCCCGGTGATATAGACCAGGTTTGGACGAATCATAAAAAGTCATCACAAATTGATCTTGGGACATCGAGGACTGGGCGAGTGATCGACATACCGTGACGATTTCCACTAACCGTTCCTGAAAACGTATTATTGTAAAGTGGTACCACGGTCGAATACGCAATTGGCGATTTCTGACGCTTTACAGAAGATTGAAGGATCTGACTGGACGCTGGGAGATAAGTTTACCATGGATGGACCACACCTCTCCTGTCATGTAACCACGACGGCGGCAGGTCGAGGCCAACGGAAGCCTGGGTATCGTTGATCCTTTGCATGCAGGAGGATATAGTGAGCGCGGCTGAGAAGATGAGGGGATGGTTCTGGAGGTAATTGTGTCTGGTGTGGTGACACAGTAGTATTGATGCAATCAAATAAAGATAATAATGCAGTTCAACACATCGAATACATGAATGAAGAAGAGGGAGCAAGCAGCCATTTCTGGGTTCTGCTAAGGGCAAGCATAGATACACACTCGACCCGTGCTTTTGATCCAGGGAGATGGGCGCAGTCCCACCGTCTTCCCTAGCTCTCGAGACCCCTGGGGGTTCCCTTGTGAAAGGATGTCAGGGTCCCAAGAAGGGAAAGTCTGGCTGGTTGTTGGGTATCCGCTGGGTTTATCCACCAGATACCCCTCCCCTTTTTGCTGGGAGGAGGCACGGAGACGAGCAACCTGGTTCCTGACTGCATTGCATGAAGCAACACGGGCTTGTACGGAAGGCGAGAGAGCAGCGTCCGGTACGGACGAGGCGTGGAAAGGTGCTGGAGAGAAATTTCAAGGGTCGTCCGCCTTAGCGACCACGTTTAATTCGTTCTGCTGGACATCCAGGGGAAAAGGTTGGGCTGGTCGCTGGCCTAAAATCCTAATCTTGACGTTTCCACGAGCTCGAAGGCTGGCCAGCACGAGGAACTCAGAACTCCAAACTGACCCAGAAACTGGCAACCTCAAACCACCAGGTCCGCCTTACAATTCGGGACCTCGATGTAACTGCGAACTTGCGAACGTCGTTGACGCTGGTGGGGATGATGAGCAAGTTGGAGAAGCGCGTTATAGGTGGGGGGTCTTGTCTTTGCAATTTCACAAGACCCAGAGTGGTCCTTACGAGCGGGTCTTGCAGATCCAACTGTGCATCTATTGGAACCAGCTCTTTACCCCAAAGCAGCCATTATTTCGGAATTCCAACACCTTCTGTAGGGCTTTCATTCGTGGAGGGCCTTCGAAGAGCCCAGCAGTGGACCGAGTTTCTCGTACGTCCGTACAAGAATTGAATACAGCAGTTCCTTTGCTGCGAAAGGAGTGTGCAATTCACAATTCGGCGAGCGCATGCCGTGTGAATTTTTGGCATTTGTCTTTCCGCAGTAGTATATGACTAGTGGTGGAGCTATTGAGCTATCCGTCCGAGATTTTTGTTGTTGTTTTTGTTTTTCTTATCATGCTTTTTGACGCGTTCCATGGTGTTTTTGTTTGGTGTTGACGTGAGACTGCCAATTTCTGTGGAAATAGGCATAAGCAGCGCTGTTAGTGAGTTACCATTATTAGAAGACCCGTCTCTCGTTGGTGCTATTGGAACGGTCCGTCTCGCGACGCCATTGACCAGTAGTGGTGATGCTACTGTACGAGAGTGCGAGGTGATGATGGAGGCGTTGACTTTGGAGCTGGAGCTTGTACGGCGACCCAAGACGAGCTCTTGGTACACATTTCAATCCTGCCTTCCAGAAGTATCGAGGGAAAAATAATCCAAAATCCTTCACGGCGAGGTACATACGCCCCACGATGACCGAGATGACAGTTTTTCTTCAACAGATAAGAAAGAGCAGAATGGAGGAATTCTAGAACAATTCGTTGCCCAACTTGGCGACTTCAAAATGTAACGGCGGTGCGGTGGACACTTCTGAAAGTGGTGGTATATCAGCACAGGCGATTTCAACCTCCGTTTATTCTCCTTATTATTTTCATCGTCGTAAGTCGCCATATTCGGAAATCCCCAGATCTCGGAGTCTACCTACCGTGAAGCCCGAGCACGTATACTCTGCTGTTCAACGCGCCTACAACCACGGTACTATTCCCCACAGCTCTTCCAATTTCCGTTAAAACAATATGGTATTTGATAATGAACTTTCAATATCAAAACTAGTTGACGTCTTGGTTGGACGTGCTTGCGCTCTTCTCTGCTGATGAAGCTTCCATCCCGTCTTGTCGAACGGCTCAGCGGCCGTGAGATGGCAGCCTACATATGGGACGGCGAGGCCGCAGGCTAAGCGCTGCATGTTATTATACATATCTGATAATAACAGGTTGAAGTGCCGCAAAGAGAAGATCAATCGTTCGTCATCCAAAGACGTTCATATGTCCGCTTCTGGGCTCAATATTCGATTGTTGTATTGAAATGAATTGTTGTTTGATGCAATAATCCTGCAGCTTGAGCCAATAGGCCTCCGTTACCATCGAGATTTGGCTTGGAATATCTTCAACTTCAGGGTCATTCGCCATTTGAGATCGCGCGCAGCTGGAGACGCAGCTACCCAGTAAGCGTGACAGGCAAACCAAACTTCTGTCAACCGACCCTTGGTTCTGAACTTTCAGATCATATTCTTTGGCCAATTCTTTTGGAGTCGACTGCAGAACTCCGGTGCTACAGTACCATTTTGCGTCAACATACTCGTTGCTCTCTCTCGTCTCCAGTGAAAACATGTCCGTCAAACCTGGGCGACTCTCTGAAACCGTAAACCTTGCGAGCTGTGCTCTTTACAAGACGACAATACGCAGAGATTCGGAGGAAGAAAAAGTAAAAATCGCGGGCATCATCGAATCCCAACGTATGTATGCTGTACCTGCACATATCATCGGATTAGGAGGCAAAGCACCCTTACAACCTGGTTCACTTGCAATAGTACTGAAAGTATGCCATGCACTCACGTTCGTTGGGGGAATGCTGACAGTTCTTAGGACATTCGTTTTAACGAGTGCAACCATTTCGGGTACGGTTTGGTGGTGCTCCTGCCCAACATCTCACCAAATAAATCTCGTCCTCTTCGGTTGCCGCCTTTCATAGGATGGAATAAAGCTGATTTCATGCAGAATGGCCGGGAAAACAAAGACGTTTTCTTAATAGGACATCTTCTTGCAGTAGATCAATTCTTCTGACACTTGAACGATCGTTTATCCTTGGGAAGTCAGCCATCTTGCAGTACGGCACTTGGTGGTTCGGCATACAATCGCAGGTGTCATGTCCTGATCCATGACATGTTTACACAATCAGATCCCTGAGTTCGGCGACCAACTACACATTAAGGACAGGGTTAACTCCATAAGTTCTCAGTCGAGTCAGTACATTGTAGATCCATGATGATTAAGATCGGAGTATATGGAAATCCGAGGTTGAAGGATTTGAGCTATAGCTCCACAGTGTCGTTTCGACGTTTAAGCCCAAATTGGATATGGTATACCAAGCGATCAGAGGTTCAAAGAAACACCGGAAAGTCTGCCGGAAAGAAATATTAATGATAAGAAAATTTCGGAAGAGAAGCCTTTTTTTCGGACCAGAAAGCTACGAGTAGGAGAGGTCTGAGCGAGTGGATTAGTGTACCAAGTCCAATCTCATCTTTCTAACACCCTCGTTCCGTCTGAGTAGAATTGAATTTAGAGAGAGAGAGAGAAATGGTTGTAACATGCCATCTACACGTTAGGCATATTATCAAGTAACCACGTGATTAGTCCCAAACATAGTTTGATTCTGCCCGATATCATCTCTCGAGATGTCAAACATTAAGGTGTAAATCTGCATGCGAAGGGTTCATTTATCGGCACCAGATGAAAACAAAATCTGTTTCTGGGGAGCTTCAGCTGCCTACCCACCAGTCGGTATTCCTCTAAGTTCGAAGGAGTTCTGCAAGAAAGTAAGGTTAAATCGAAAATCCTTGGATCGCCGTTTCAAGATACAGATCATTCCTGCCTTCTTCTTCCGGTCAAACGGAACTAGGATCTTAGGGTTAATATGGCCAAACACAATTGTTTGTCTGCGGCTTTGAATCCTCTCGTAGATCTAAAATGTTAGCATTGAGCGACGACGCCTTGCGAAATCTGATAGGCAAGTATCGTCAGATAGCTGCAGACCAGACCAGTAAATACCCCACAACTGGTGAAACGGGCCAGAGCTTTCTGAGCTCCATCCGTCTTGCGAGGAGACAGCGAGAGCTGTGCCGAATTATTTGTTACTCGACATGTGTTTTCATGCTAATATGCCCGTGATAAGGTACCGACTGAGAGTATCATACTAGACTGCCCCGAGGTGAAAATTGATAGCAGCTCACAGTACTTGTCTGTGCCTGCGATTGACAGAGTCTGGATTTCACCCCACTGTCCCAGCCCCGCCAGGTTCCTGGAACCTGCCTTGTCACCTATCACTTCTACGCCATGTCCTCTTCTCCCGTCATCCGCGAAGCACAGCGATCCCGCACAGTCTTTGAGGCGTCCGTCCTTCACCATCTGAATCTCTGGAGATCTTGAAACGTATTCCCGGCAAATAGGTGGCAGGCAAAATGCGGTGTTCTGCAGGCTGTGGCCGGGTGTAACCATCATTCTTCAGAGACAACACTCTCAGACGTGGCTGCTTCGACGTGACTTGGTTCCAGCCCGAATAGCCCGTCTGCAATTGTGTGAGAATATACGGATGACTCTCCCATTCGTCAATCAGTCGGGCAGCTAAGGGACCTTCGGTTGCAGAACTGATCCGGATGGAAGCTGGCCGGTTTGTCCTCCCCACCACGGGTTTTTCTGCAGCGCCGAGACTGGGGCAAGGTGGGTGCTATTGCCATGGATTCGTGTACTCCGGATACCTTTCGAGCATCAGCAAGCAGTTGTCTCCGCATATCGCTTCGTTGTGATGGTGGATAGGCTTGGACTTTGGAGCTTTCAGTGGGAATTTGTCTTGATGCTCGGCGAGCAGATTCATGAACCTAATAGCAAACGAAAAACGCACAATTCGGGAATCTTGCCAGTGAAGCGAAACTGCAGAAATCAATATCCGCCAATCGCTCTCGAAAATCTCAAAGAAGAAAGTTGGTGATAATTCTCCGAGACGTTGTGGTGCGGGAAGATGGACGTTTGACTGTGCCAGTTCGTTCCCGTTAGATTACGGCGACCATAAAAGCCAATATTGACAGCAGACATAAAGTCGTGATACGCGACGTAGCGAGCCCGAAAAGCGGCCTTCGAAGGTGTGGGGTATACAGGGCAAGGATAAGCATTTACGAAGTCAATTCGCGCGCTGCTTTTGTTTCAGTCGATGATGCTCTACTTTCTACGAAGAACTAAAATGATAACGGCAAGAATTCCACTACCAACTGAATTAACTTTTATTTAAGCTTTACTAACCTGACTAGGCATTTAGCTGCTAAAACGGAACGTTATAGTTCTCTCTTAGGCATTCTACTATTGACCACATGCATCCGCACACGAGAAGTGTTAAGCGGCGTAAACTGTACCTGCATTAGTTTTCTGCGCTCGCTTCCTCTTGCATCACGTCGTACGTGTTCGGAACTGTTACTCCACAACTCTACATCTACTATTACTAGAGAATCATAAATCCCATGAACGATTGTCAAACGATTCCTCCTGTTCTAATTCGCTACGAGGCGCGCATTAAAAATTTCTTTTTTTCCCGCCTATCATAATCCGCCAAATGCTACTCTGCAGCTCGTCCCCTCTATTATTGTCACTTGCATCTTTTATGAGGCTTTCACAGACTTTCACACCGCATGAGAAAGAACCAACTGCTTATGCGTCGTACTGCTGACATTCCACAGAAGAGCCTCTTCCCTTTCATTCGACCCCCTTTCCATTGTTGGGCTATATATCGACGGACCCGCTGCCGAGTGAGCAGTCCCGAACCGTTTTGCTTTTTCCGTGCCCAGGATGTCCCAAGCTCTCCAGTTGGGATTTACGTTTTTCTAGCCCGATGTGTGCTCTGAACGTGTCTTCTCTGCAAATTCATCACTCTCACTGCATAGAGGCGCGCTTACTTCTGACGTCAAAGCATACGCTTTTTTATTGTAGGATATTCGACGTATCAATGGACTTTGTACTTTTCTCACCGCTATTACACGCGATCTGAGCATTTCTATAATGTTTCGATGTCCTGCGGCTATTGCATGGTTTTGCGTACATGAAGAGAGCTGGCCAGCTTGGATGGCCTCAACCAATTCTCCGAAACATGTCTTATACGTAGCTCTAATTGCTTTGATCTCCAACCGTTGGAGATCTCTTCATTTGATTCGGAAGTTTTCATAAAACGGCGGATGGCTTCACAAGGCGAGATATGCACACACTCAACGTTACCAGGATCAACCTTCTCGATTGAGCAATTTGTTCTGGCCACAACCAGCAATTCCTTGCCGGGCACGATGCCATTCAAACGTTAATTGACACGGACAAAAGCTTACCAGTAAGCTCAAACGAAGCAGCGGGACGTTAAGGGTAGCCGAGGTTGAGAGACATGTCTTACCCAGCGAGCCAGCATCTTGCTGTCATTGGCCTCGAATGTTTCGGCAGTTTTCAGGTACCTTTCTTCGGAAGCACAAGATAATCGCGGTTTCAAAGCTCAGACCTGCATTATGACCGCTCAGTATCTCAGATCCGATTGAAGGACGGCAAATCTGACAACCTTTCGTGGAGCTCGTGGAGCTTCCAATCGTCTTCGAATGTTCACTTCAGAGTAACTCAACGGCCAGCCACTTGATCGATGACTTGAGACATCTCAGCCCTCTTGATCTCTGTGTACAATCAAGGATATTGAAGTCTCATCACTCCACTGAGTCTGCCGAAAGAATACCTTAAAACGTTTCACTAACATTCCATAGAAATCGTCGAAAGCAAATCTAATTCGTAGACGATCAATAGAATCTTTCCACCCTGAGACAACTTGTACCAATGTTCAGCTCCTCTGCCTTGTTAGACATCAAGCTGTAACGATTCAGCTCATGGCTAAAGTTAGTCTTTCCGCGTTGTAGACATATAATACAACCTGCAAGTTAGTAATATGAGCACATAAAGCACGTCTACACAGAGGTTTCGTATATCACAATTTTTTTCAACTCTTCTCCATCGCCAGCAGTAAGCGCTTGCCATCATTCACCCAAGGCGGTTTGTAGGTTCTGTCACTTGAGGAACGCCGTCTATTATGCACGTAGAAAACTCTGCTAAAAAATTGCCAGTGTTCAGATTCCACGATATTTATAGATGTATGAAAGAGTTATTGGCTTACATGGTTATGAATATGACTTGGTAAGGTTAGCTATCCCTAAGCATATAAGCAAGTCACAGTTTTCGCACTCCCTAAAGCTTTTTGTTCAATCTTCACCTCTCTGAGCTGTTCATATGTTGGTTTGAATTAAATTATCAAGAATCATTGAAGTAGAAATTTCTGGTTCCTACCACTACACAGAGATGAGTTTCTCTCAGTAAAACAACTTCCCATCATATTCAGGTCTATCACTGCCTCAAGAAAATATCCCAAGAACACATAGTCATTATTGCAAAAACTCTACAATACCACAGCCATCTCCCATCTCTTCCCAGGACCAATTACTCAACTAGCGACCCACATCCAACCTCCTAGCATCCAACATATTAGACAAAGCCATTATTCGGTCCACTATCTGACTCCCGAACAAAATATCCACCGAAGCATCGGGTACGCACATCGATAATTAAACAACCTAAATTCGGAACACATCAGGATCATCAACACCTCGCACGAATACGCCATGTGATCACCTTGCTTGTAAATCCCCGATGTCATACAACACCCGCTGGGCGCGAGATCTATATTACAATATTGACCACCACTTTGACGGGTAGCGGTCCCGAAGAAGTTGTACAGAACATGGCACATGGCATTTATGTTCCGAAGTCACACAGGACACTTTAAAGCTGAGGAGAGGTTTGAGTAAAACGCCAATTGCCCACGCGGTTGTCAAAGTACGAAACGTGTGGAAGGAGGTTAAAAAGTTCCGAAGTTACGTGACCGAGGCGTGGTTGAATAGTTTTAGCCATGTGGTCAAATTGCCGAGTAGCACTAACTTCGCGTTCGGAATTCTTGAAAGGTGTAATCAGGTTTAGCTAAGTTTACGGGTGGGCAACGAAGCTTTCCAGCATTGTGAAGCAGAAATTTAGGAAATCACGATTCTGTCCATAACGCTAACCGGTTAGGGTTTGGGTTAGGGGTAAGTTAGGGTTAGAGGTTAGGTTCAGGGTCAGGTCGTTTCTCTTTTAGGTTTAAACACCCTACTAGCGTTATGGACAGAATCGAGGAGTCCGAAATTTACTAATGGAAGGTCCCAAGATGCGAGAGAAGCGCAAGAATATCAGATAGGTCCGAAACAAGGTGAAAATCCCCGGCAAGACACAGATCCCCCCCAAATCCTCCCGCCGGGCATGTACCTCCCCATGGTATCGGGCCCTTTACTCTTGCCCAGAAGCTAACACGTCAAAGGCTGTTTTTAACACGTCAAAAATTGCTTTTCTGATACACAGCTTTAAACGCAGTCAAGATAGAAAACGTAAGGTACTATCAAATTACACTTCCCCTATACTCCAACCCTACTATACACAACCCATCGAAAACATTTAACAATTCCTCACTCTGCAAATACGGCTTGAAAAGCAAATACCCGCAACACCACACGCCATTCCAAACATCTCCCAGACCACAGAGTTACAGACACGATGCATGAATACATACATACATACACCCTACCATCCCCTCCCACCAACACCTACCCCCCAAAAAAGCAACCTCCCACACAATACCGCCTACCCGGACACCCGGCCACCACCACCCATCCCAAACTCTCCCGTCCCTTCAAACGACTCGCACCCGTCAGCCCGTCCCTCACCTGCCGTCAGCCCGACAAAAAAGCAAACAACCATCTAAATTCCAGCTCGGTTAAGCGAGGTACGGCATTGAATCACCTCACTAACAAAAAGCAAGTTAAATCACTAGGTACTATAACGCGTCGAAATACCTCCGTACCAGCACAACGCTGTTATCAACGTTAGCCCTGCCACACGTAAGCCACAAAATTGCGTAGCTGACGTTCCGTCCCTGTATGGTCCGTCACATTGGGAATGGGCATAGAGATTGGCGAGTATGTCTCTCATGACAAACGATGATGGAAGTTGTGATGAAACAGATTTATGATATGATAGGTAGAATATTATTATATCCATATTTTCAACTCCGCGATCATGGGGATAGTCTTTTGAATCCACCATAGAAATTGATATCTATCTATCTGATCATACACAAAAAAATAGCCCAGATAAAACTCCCCCCTTCCAATACCCCCATTTAATTCCATACCCCCACGACGGCAAGAAATCGCAGTGATATTACAATCGCGGGTATAACAGTTCCCTAACCCGCAATGTGTAACGAGAAATGAAACCCTTCTCGGGATGAGAAACCATTTGCACTGCAAGCCGAAATACTCGGATCACCTACTCATCGGAGTCCTCAGCTGCAGGTGCTGGATCAGCCATCGGTGTATCCCCATTCGCGGTGGCAGGAGAGTCGTCTCTCGCAGCAGGTTCTTCATCCTCGTCCTCATCGTCGGAATCAATCATTGCACGGCGATTTTTCCGTTTCGCAGGGGCGGGAGCTGCTTCATCCTCATCAACATCCATAGATGCAGGTGCGTCACTCAAGACTTCATCATCCATCTCCTTTAGAGCATCGGCTGCACCGTTATCACCATCGCTATCGCTCTCGACAACAATCTCGCTACTCTTGAATTTGCTGGGCTTGTCGTTTGCCCCTTTCTTTGCCAATCTCCTCTTCTTCTTTGGCTTTTCTTCATCGCTATCATCACCACTACCTCTCTTTGCGCGACGCCTTGGCTTTGGCTCTCGCTCCCCACCACTCTCATCATCTGTAATTCCATCATCATTCTTCTTCTTGCGTTTTCCGCCACCTCCACGAGGTTTCTTCTTTCGCTTAACTTTGTCACCAGTCTCACTATCAGTCGTAAGTTCCGCAGCTTCTCGTGCTCTGTCTTCCTCGGCCCTCAGATCAGCAAGTTCACGATCCTTCTCAGCGATCTTTTGCCGCTCTTCGGCAATCTTAAGCTTTCGATCGAGCTCAGCTTGCTGTGCTGCCTTCTTGGCATCCTCCCGCCTCTTCAGTTCCTCTTCTCGCTTCTGTTTGGCAGCTTGGAGTTTTTCAAAGTTCTTTTCCTCGTACTCTTTCTGAGCTTGAATAGACCGCTCCAACTGTTTGCGCATGGTGTTTCGAGCCATGTTCGCTCGCTGCTCAATATCGTGTTTTGGAAAGGGTGTTTGTGGGTGCTGGGCAATTGCTTCTAAAGACTCAATCGCCGCTTCCAGTCCCTCAGCAGCAGCCTGAACCTCTGCCAGGGTTCGTTGTGCCTCTGGCGTCCCGTAAACAGCAGTAGCAAGCTGTATATGAACGAATGCAACATTGAACTTGAAATGAACCTGTTCTGGCGCGAGCTCAAGAGCCTGTGAAATGTTAGCAATTAGAGAGTGCATATAGTATTGCTTGACTCACTTTCAGAGAATATTCAAGGGCATTTTTGTAACCTGTCAAGTTCTTCTCAGCCCTGCCCTTTGCCAACCAAGTCCGGCCTAAGCATGCCAGAATTTGAGCATCACGAGACCTATCCTTCGACAAAGCAGCTTCATAATGTTCAACAGCCTTGCTGTACTGGTGTAGCTCGGCGAAAACGTGACCCAAATTGACAAACACGCTCGGATCTTTGACTGTTTCTCGAACCTTGACGAAGATCGATAATGCAGTTTTGAGATCCTTCTTGTCTTCAACAAGAGCGATTGCAATCCCCTGAGCGGCGTAAGCGTTCTTTGGGTCAAGCTGTAAAGCTTTGTCAAAAAATTCCACAGCTTTGGTATACATGGCGCTTCGTTTTTGTTTGTCTTGGTCTGTCTCTCGTCGCATTTCACGGGCTGTCATCAAATACAAGTTTCCCATGCCTATCAAAGCATACCGGTCGTGCTTGTCGTAACCCTGCAGAGTATGTTTGTAATGGCGTAATTCGGAATCTTCAGCAAGATTCCCAATCTTCTTGCGAGAGTTGACCCGCCCTAGATACCACCCATATAGCGCTCTGACTTCGAGGTCAGCGGACGCGTCTTTGTAGAGCTCACCCATTTTTTTCGGTCCGTCGTCAGTTGGGTTTTGTCGGAGCGCAATGTAGGCTTGCCTCGTCCTCGCATCAGTATAGTTATCGTGACGCGCCAGTAGCCCTTCATAGACGGTATTGGCTTCGTCGAGCTGGCCGCTAGCCTCGTATGTACGACCAAGATTATAGCTGATAGTCGTGACAAGTGCATCACCATCAAGTTCTTCTTGGGTTTCGGTGATTTTCATACACGCATTGAGAGCCACTTGGAACATGGCTCCAGCTTGCTCAAACTTTTCAGACTGGTAATAGAAACAGCCCATATTATTGAGAAGCTGAGGCGGCAGACCTTCCCTCAGGGACTCTTTCAAAGCTGCAATTTCCTCAGGGTCATCCGGTTTTTCGTCCTTGGGAAGACGATCATATTCAATCTGTTCGACCTGCTGAAGGCACTGCAAGCTTTTCTCTGGCTGGTCTACCTCGTAAAGGCGAGCAAGATTGAGGAGCACCGAAGAATCAGCAATGAGGTTCTTCTTTGGGTCCTTCCAGGCATTTCTTGCGGTTTCAAGATAACCAATCGCCTTCTTAAACTCGGTGGATTTGTCCTCCTTAACAGCGCTTTGCTGGCTGACAAAGACTTCCTCCGCATAAAGCGTACCCAAAAGAACCATAGCCTCAATGTTCTTTGACTGCTGAATTATTTTCTCCAGTCGCAATTTCGCTTCTCCAAAATCACTCTTCAAGACCGCCAACTGTGCAGCACCAAATTTAGCAGGGAGATATCCACGTTCTGCTCCACCTCTCGCCTCATCAGCTCGGCGGTAGTAGTCAGTTGCCCTTTCATAATCTTCATCGTAGTGCTCTTTTCGAGCTAGGAGATACCAGCCATCACTGGCAATGGCGTTAACATCCGTATACTGGATTGCTTTGTGAGCAAGAGTATCAACGTTGGGAAGAGACTTTCGCGACAAGAAGTAGCCAGCAAAGGTAGCGCAAGTCAACGGAAGATCTTTGTCCGCTTTGAAAGCTTTTTGTGTGTATTCCGTCATTGCCTTCTTGTATAGGCGAATAAATTCTGGCCCGTTCGTCGGTACATGCGCGCTGGCATCGAGGTAGAAAAGACCGAGTAGGATATTTGCGGTTTTCGAATCTGGACTTATCTCCAACGCCCGTTCCCAGGCCGTCTTTGCATCCTCCTTAAAACCAAGCTGCCAGAAACAACACCCAATTCCTATCCGTGGATCTGGGTCTACCAATTCCGGCATCTTGTGAAGAACCTCTTGATATCCTTCCAGCGCTTCCGCAAACTTTCCAAGAGAATAAAGAGCGCGCGATTTGCCCAGTACAGCCATCATATTTCTTCCTTGCGAGACCCGAATTGCATCTTCAAAAGACTTCAACGATGCTCGCAGAATTTCCGCCTTGTCAATATCGATCGCACCAGGCGCGGCAGACTTCGAAGGAGGTTGCAGTGACGCCTTCAGTAATTGTAGAACTCCGCGAGCCAGAAACAGAGGTGGGAACGCCGGGTTTATTCGAAGGGCTTCATTCAACGTAGACGTTGAAAGCCCCAGAAAATAGTCCTTCGTCCTGGCCTCAGAGGGCAGTACACCTTCCGGTGCAACTCGAGGTGCCTCCCTACTTTTCCACAAATACATCCAACACAAGCAGGTAAGCATGCTGAGTTTCTCTCTGGGGCCGCCCCTCATGACCTGACCTCCCTTAATCAACAGCTCGATTGCCGTATCGACTTTCTTTTGTTTGGCATACGCCAACGAAACAGTCATCCAGTATGTTCGCGCCGCGCCTTCATTTTCCAACAGCGTACATAACTCGGTTGTATCGTCTAATAGCTCTTCCAAATCGATTTCAACAG